GCCGAGAATTCTGGTTTCGCCTTCACATTTTTTTCTCACTCGCATGCCATTCCAATTTTCACGCGAATACTCGCTTTCTTCGATCTTCAACTCCAACCCAACCCCAACCCAACCCCATTTCATCAGTCCTTTCAAACACATAAATGCTACAATACATACATACATACGTAACCTATTATTCCTAATTCCTACGTCATTTACTGAAGTTATTATCATTATTATTTAAAGCTTTCTGTCATGTGCTGAGAGTCTGGTGCAACACACGGCGCCCGTGCGGCGTCCTAAGGATCCCATAAATCTCAAGACAAGCCTTATCATATACGAATATACTGATTTCACCCTGTCATGGGCTCATCAGGGAGGTGGCACTAGCCCCCGACCAATTGTGTACTCAGTCTGAAAACTGAGACAGAACGTATTCAATGCCAATGTCGCCCCTTTTTATTCATATTGTATGAGGCTAATCAGCGGATCGTTCATTATTTTAATCTTTATACGGTCACAAAAATATCATCAGTCATATTTCGCTCACCAAGGCTTCATTAATTCAACTTTATAGGCTTTCATGAAAGGTGAGTGCGGGCGCCTTTTTGTAGTTTCATCACTATTGACTATGATGATGACATGATTTTGAAACCCGAATCTTAGTTTTTGGCATATTCCATATTTGCATGACAAGTGTGTTGCTGATAATTAATTCTGCGCTTCATGTTGGCTGATTATTATTATTGTTATTTTTCTTTGTTTGGTATGATTCTGGTAGTTTTGGATCCTAACTTTTGGGTAATCTAAAGGAAACTTTGGTACTAATTCTATATAATTTAAATGGACGATGTACCATTGCGTGAAACAAGAGTATTGCGCAACATTCTTTTTGTCGATTCGATTATTATAATGCTTTCAAATAATCTCGCATGTTTGTTTAATTTGGTTAGGATACAATAACATGCTTTTCTTCAGCTGAGGAGTCACCAAAATCCATCTACTATTTTCAATGAACGCTTTAATTTATGAACTCAAAAGTTAGTGATCTAATTGTGAATTCAATAAGTGATTCAAGAAGAAGGTTTACATTTAATTTTTAACACTTTTAAAAAAAAATTGCGGCATTCAAATCAGGGGCGGCTACAACGGGGAAAGCAGCAGTGTTTCCCCATGATATAAATTTTCTTTATAAAATGTGTTTATTTTTATTTGTAACTCATGTGAAAATTAATTTTGGTCCCCCACTTTCTTGTAACCTTTTATTTTTGGCTCTCATTTATTAACTCTAGATGCGTCCTGCTTCAAATGAAACTCTTCAAATATATGAAGATATTCTTGACCTTAATTAAGTGCATTGCCATGCAAAGCCAATTAAGAAGCCCAAGCGCGCGCGCGCATATAAAATCAAATTGTTTGTGTATATGACGTTCTGACTCCATAGATATGGATAGATGCAAGATAGTATTAGTATTCCGAATGCCTATTAATTAACAGCATAACAGTCAATTAATTTTCAATATTTTTTAACAAACTGGCTGTCAGCAAATGAAATTCGTCAGTCGTCGACTAATGATTTTTAGAGAGCTGCTAGCTGTCAGTTAAATAAGATTAATAAATATAGTGCGACTCCATTTCTTTTTTCAAAGTATTTATCTATACTCCCCCCATTCAAAAATATAAGATATTTTTTTAGAAGTTGGATATGCAAAAATGTAAGGCATTTTTAATCTTTCGATGTATAACATTGCCTTTTTTTTCAAAAGTATCCCTATTCATCATGACTTTATATTTATTGTAGGGTCTCTAATAAATGTAGATATGAAAAGATAGGGTTAATTTGAAAGTAGGTAACTACTTTATTGAGAGGTAAAATTTGATTAAAAATGTCTTATATTTTTAAACGAAAGGAGTAACATAATAGCATATCTGGTAAAATTGGTTCTTAAAAAAAACAGAAAAATCTCTTATGGATTTTAGAATGACCTTAGAAAATAAAAATCATCTTTAGGCATTGTACTACAAAGTGAATTATAATTCTCGTACATGGCTATTAAATTAAATTGTTAAATATTGCTTCACACCTCAAGAATGCTAGAGTGGATGGGGAAAAATCATATCAAAAAAAAAAAATCATGCAAAATGTAATTTGGACTTTGGATGTTGACTTAGTCACAATTTGTTCACGGAATTAATGAAAAAATAGTTTTTTTACTTGTCGCATAGAACAGACATATTAGCAATTTAGCTGCTCCCCTCAACAAGACAAAAATGAAAAACCTTCCAACACAAGTTGAAACTTCAAGCTTGCTTGGTGTGCAAGCCTCACTTCCTTAATTCACCGTCTCTTTCATGCCTATCAAATGCAAATGTGTCAAGTCTCAAGTACAAAGAAAAGTCGGATTTGGGCATATTTCTATATTCCGGCTTTTTATACTTATTTTATACGACATTTTTTGGATATAAAGCTAGATCTAATGATAACTTGGACCTTGAATTTATTTTTTAATATAAAATTTTCCCTTGAAATAAAAAATTGTGAAAATTAATTTTTTAGTTTTTCAATTTTTAATTTATTTGTAACTCAATCCCCAACTATGACTCAGTATGATTCAATTTTTTAATTATGACTCGCCTATGACTCAATCCATTACTTTTGAATCACTTATGACTTAGTGCCTCAATTTAATTTTCTTTTTTCATATTAACTTAAATCTCACATTAAAGAGCAAAAGATGGTATTTTAGAATACTATACGAGCATTTCTTTTATCCCTCTTATTTGATGAGAAATTTTTTTAAAAAATTAAAAAATAAGGATCAAATTATAATGAATCAAAAGTTAAGAGACTAAGTCGCAGCGAGTTATAGTTGAGGGATTGAGTCGTAGTGAGTTATAGTTGAAAAATTAAAATATAAGTGAGTTAAAAGTTGAAGGACTAAAAAATTATTTTTTAAAAAAAATTACATAAATGCTTGCATGCATATCCATGTCTACTTTTACTTGTAAATGATTGCAAGTTATATTGCTTGAAAAATGAGTTATATGTTATTTTTGGCTGATAAATAATATGATTTGTTTGTAATTGTGGGAATATTTAAGTTAAACGTTGGCACTTGTAGATATTAAATATCATTTGATCAAGAAAATTGTGCCCCAATTTTTCTCGTACACTACTCATGCTGGGGATTGATTTCTTGGAGTCCAAGTTGAAGAGTTAGAAAGCTGAAAGAAGGCATACATAAATAATGGGTAGCTGTCACAATCCGGCGGGTCACGTACTCACGTTTTATCGTAGACCTTACGCATGTTTTCCAAAAATTATACTTAATTTAGAATTAATTTTAACATAGTAAGATATGCTCCCTCTTCGATTTCATTTTTAAATTATATTTTAAAATATTTATTTAATTTTTTTATAAGTTATAATATGACTTTTTAAATAATATTTAAAATATATTTTTAAAATTACATTTTATGAAAAAAAATAATATAATACACTTTTTTAATTTATTATATAAATATATATTTAAATTATATATATTTTTATTTTTTATACTTTCTATATTAATATTAATAAAATTAATAAAAATAATTTATAAGTAAAATTGAATGAATAATTATTTATACAGAATATCTTTTGAAAATAAATTTCATGCGTAATTTCATTTTCATGCACTGGGATCCCGGGTATGTGTAAACGTGGTGGGTCCATTTTCCTGACACAATAGGACCAAAGTTTTATGGGAATTACAAAAACTGCCACGCAGATTCCAGTTGTCACATGTCAGGGCGAGAGATGGACCACGGTTCAGAGTCCAAGTCAAGGGGGGTCTCTCTAGGGTGGGGTCCACCATCTGGGTCCTAATAGCAGCAACAATCTCATGCTTTAACTGTAACCCTTTCATCATAATATCTTCCTCTTTCAGTCTTTCTTCATGTTTAACTACCTTGTTCATTCCTTTTATCCCCTTTCTTTTTCTTTTATCGATTTACATCTATTTTATTCAACAATTTTTTTAATTTTCAATTTTATTCTTCTCCATAACCTTTTTGTCACAAGCATTCATTTATTTAATATTCCATCACACAAATCTTATTCGTCTTCTCTTAAATTTCCACAAAATACTAGACAAGTTCAGATTGGATGCTTATTATGAGATAGACACTGCAGTTTTTTTGTAGATTGTTCAAACTTCGTGTTGATGATTTAATTTCATTTTTTGTAAAAAAAATCAAGATGTTGGTGTTAGACTTAATGGAATCAAAATCAAAGCAATCAGCTCATCATCATGTTACAAATCATTGGTCCCAAGAGGTGGTCTCCTGCACTTGAATGCAGCATATCATATCCTTAAAGCATAAACTTTTGTTCTTATTTTTTTGGGCACCGTCATTTCATTCTCAGTCAGCAACTTTATTCCTTTTATCACCAACACAGGACACGTACATGGCATCAACGTTCTTGGATTACAGGAAGCATCTCATTTCGGAACAGTCCAATACAAAATCCAAATACAAATGAGCTCTGGTCCCTCTCATCTTTCTCAGAGATTTAAAAACAATACATAAAAAAAAAAATTGCAATGGCAAGATTGTTAGCTACTCCAAGAAATGTCCACGAAAACATGCTTGTGTCTTGGAATTTTCTATTTGCATGGGAATAGGGAAGCTTAGGAGTACAGTGCACTCTGTCCCTGATGCTTATTTAAACAGATATTGTTTGGGATGAGAAAAGCAGCCAACTGAAGCTTATGCTCAAAGGACACCATCCTTTTCTTTTTCTTTCTCCTCTTCCCTTCCTTTCCCTCTCTATCTCTATCTCTCTCTGTTTGGTCTTTAATATTTTTCTATACAAAGCAACGAAGCAAAGCATCTCTTCGTCTCACTCCTCCACATCCTTGTTGCTTTCACTTGTAAGTTTTAACTTTTCTTTGCTTACAGAGATTAGCTCCTACTTTTCCTTTATAGACCCCATTAATCAACTAGTAATCCCGTCGGTGTATCTTTCTGTGCTTAAATCTTCCCAAAGTTTGGAATCTCTACGTAATCTAGGGGATTTTAATGTGGTCAAATTGGGTCATACTTTTTAACTTTATCTTTTTTTTTTTTTCGCTGGCCCGAACAAATTTTCAGTGGTTTCCCATTTTGAAAAATGCATGAGAAACCCATGACCACTTTCCCACTCACCTCACCAGCATCTTCTTCTTCTTGCTTAATCGCTTAAATGGCTTCTCGCGTTTTCTGGGGATTCAGTTCTATTGTTGAGAGGCATTAAGGCCTCTCATGCCATATATACACACACACACACATACATATAGATCATTTCAATTTGTTCATTCTTCAATCCTTTTCCTGACAATTTTTGCTTCATTCTTTTTCCCTCTCTGCATTAATTTGGGAAGTGGAAACAAGACCAAGAAATCAGAAGTAACGAACGCCATGAGTTTTTTAACAGGCTCTCCCAAAAGTTCTTGGCAACCAATTATGACTGCGGATACAACGACGCGAAGTTACTGGGTAAACTGGAAGGTTCTGGTTTGTGCCATATGGGTTTTAATCACAGCCATGTGTTCAATATTTCTTACATGGAAATATGAAACCTTACGAAACTCAAGAAGAGGTAACAGAGAAGACCAGCAAGAAGAAACATCAAGAGTTTTGTACGAGGATGAAACGTGGAGGCCATGTCTGAAGGGAGTTCACCCTGTCTGGTTGTTGGTCTTTAGAGTTTTCGCGTTTATTGTGCTTTTGGTTCTGCTCATAATCACTGCTGTTACAGACGGAGGAAGCATTTTCTATTTTTACACCCAGTAAGCCCTCTCATCCCCTTTTGATTTCAATCGTCATCTCAAAATTCATGACCAGAAAAGAAATCGTTATCTCAAAATTGGCTGCTTTTGATAGCGACATCGCATTTATTAGACGTTTAGTTTAGCATCATCCTACGTTGTTGATATGCAACATTAAATCAAAAGTCTATGACAAAAAGATAAATTCGGTTCTTAGCCGTCTCTTGGCTTCTAATATTTGATTTTCCTTTTGTGGGTTTTTTGAAACAGGTGGACTTTCACTTCAATCACCATTTATTTTGGGGTAAGTGCCACCCGAATTATATACATTTACATACTGGTTCTGTAGCTTTATTTTAGAATCTAATTTGTATTTTACTACCAAAATCTCTTATAAACACTATTATTGTATGTTTCTTGCTATTGTAGCTGGGGTCTTTGCTGTCCATGTGTGGATGTTACAGACATCACAAGAAAACGAGTGGTGACAAAGTTGATAATGTTGATGGGGATGCAGAACAGGGCATTTATGATGTTCCTGGACTTTCACAAACTTCCAAGGGGTCTAGCAACGAGAAAACGTTAACCACTTCAGTTGAACATCTTGCCCGCCAACCAGCTGGCACTTGGGGTTATATCTTTCAAATAATTTTCCAGGTACATTTTCATGCCTCGCCGGTTTACCTGAGTTTTCCTCACTCTAATTTCTTCAGACAGCAGAATTTAATGAGTTCATAGCTTTAAGTACATTGTCCTCTTACCCATTGTGCTGTATGTTTCTTTCTCTTAGCTTTCCCATAAGGTAATTTATTATTTTTTCTTCACTTGTGAACAGATGAATGCCGGTGCTGTAATGCTTACAGATTGTGTATTTTGGTTCATAATTGTTCCGTTTCTAACCATTAAAGATTACAACTTGAATTTTGTAAGTATCATTCAGTTATGGCATTAAGCTTTCTCTATTCTTTCACTTCTTGTCTTGGCGAAGAAGAGAAGATTTCAAACTTCTGTCTTTTTGAATTTTCCTGTGGCAGCTGATCATCAATATGCACAGTATCAATGCTGTTTTCCTGCTAGGTGACACAGCTTTAAATTGCCTGGTATGCGTCTTCATGTGTTGATTCTATTTACTCGTCAAATGAAAATCTGACGAGAAACCCTTGCTGAAAGATCTGCACCGTTAAGTTTTCTAATGGAAACTTGTTTTTTGTTTCCCCCTCTTCAGCGATTCCCTTGGTTTCGAGTTGGATACTTTTGCATGTGGACAGTCACTTATGTGATTTTCCAGTGGATTCTTCATGCTTGCGTTAAACTCTGGTAAAAACCATATTTGTATTTGGCTTCTACATTGTGAAAGGCTCTTGCATATATCATTCTGTAACATCAGTATCTTTTCATCTTAAAACAGGTGGCCATATCCATTTCTTGATTTGTCATCTTCCTATGCTCCGCTTTGGTGAGTAAATTTTGGCAATTACCATTATAACTGTCCATTCTCATTCAAAACTAGAACTATCAACTTCATTGTAGTCTTTGCCACTGCTTCTGGGAAACATTACTCGTGAAAGTAATGTAATTGAACTGATTTGCCGACCCTTTTTCTGTGGCCTGTAGGTACTGCTCGGTGGCATTACTCCATATTCCCTGCTACGGAATCTTCGCTTTGATAATAAAGCTGAAACACTATGTGTTGTCAACACGGTTCGCTGACTCGTATCAATGTAGGAGATGAACTGAGTTCAGAAATAGAATAGTTTTGATTTCCTGAACAATATCAATACGGTAGATAAAGTAAGGGATAGGTCATAGTGTTCAGCATTGTTGGTTTCATGCATTGAGCGAATATAAGGCAAATATATATAGTGCTTTTCTTTTTTTCGTTTTTGAAAGATTAGCCGCGCTGATCTAGCGAGCTGGCATTACAGAGTCACTTCTCTGCTAGGGGTAAGTTGTAATTAATCAGGCATTCACAGAAATCTGAGCGATTTCTGATTCTGATTCCCTCAATGGCCCAATTTGGCTTCAAGGTGCTTCAATATTCCACCATTATGCATTTAGGGTTTCTAAGGGAAAAAAAAAAAAAAAGCTCTGATTGAACGATTCTAAAATTGTCAAATGGTTCCATGAAAAATTTATTTGATTTTTGAAATTGAAATTATTCAGGAATAGTCAGGTGTTTATCAGGAAGTGATTGGTTAGGTCCTTTAAATTTCTTAATTGTAAGTTGAAATGCATGTCCTGGCCAAGAAACTCGACAGTTCTATTCAAGAAGTGAAAGAATACGTTGGTTAAAAAAAAAAGAGTGAAAGAATACAGACAAATAACAACAGAAAAGAACTTGTCAACGAAAATTGACGAGGCATTAATACATTGAGATGACTACATCAGTATTTATGTTACAAAGAACGAGAAAGAAAAACTTGACCAATGGATGCTCTTGAATATGCAAAAGATAGAAACATCATAAACGTAGAGGAGAAAACAAATAAGTGCTTGATAAAACCCATCATGATCATATTTAAAATTTTATGGCGTCTTGTCTTCTCGGGCTTTTCCTCGGTGAATAATCCAGAGAGGAATCTGGACGTCAGGCGCAAGCCAGAGCCGAGCTTGCTCTTTGTTTCACCAATCCCTCACTTGCCTTACACCGTTGCTTATCCTGAGGTGAGCCCCACAAGAACAGTTGACAATCTTTCTGGAGCAAGGTTTGTGGAAAAATGACTGACAAGTTGTGCACCTTTCAATCTCGTCTTCCTGTGCAAATTTTGCTTAGATTAGAATAACTCCACAAATACAAAGACAATATTTAGGATAGTTTCGTGAAATAAGGATCCGCAGCTTCCTATGACAAACGAGAATTATATTACTATGAGCTGCAGAACATTGATGGGTTAGCAAATACAGTTTTCCAATCTAATTCTGGTAGCATTTTGTGGATATATTCCAATTAATAGACGAAAAAACATTTCCAATGAACATAATTAACTCCTTAGGAACATGACACGCCTGGATCCCCTATTGTCGAATTCGAATCCAAGACACTTTTTTCCCTTAAAATTTTTTTCTGGGTCTCCCCATCCAGCATGAGTGACCATACAAGGTAATCCAAATCCCTGTTATTCGCTCCACTGAAGGTAGTGGGTGCACATCTGGAAGTTGCCTTGCACACAAGCAACTAAAGGGTAAAGTTGGTGGGGGTCCAGCTCCTTTCGCAACACACACACACAGATTAAAAGGTGTTGTTGATGTAAAGGTTGCAGAAACATCCTTGCAAACTGGAATTCTGTAGTTCTCACCACCACAACAACCAGAAAGTTAGTTCAGCCTTATTTCAAAGCAATTTACAGGAGCCTTTCAAAATTCAGTTTCGATCTTCTAAAGTACACCATGCAATTCATAAACTAAAATGAAAGTCAGAAATTGATAATTTGCAAGTATTTAAAAAAAAATACAAACCATAAGAACAATAGTTATCTACCATTTCCTTTCTGACACAACTGGTATAATTCTTTTCAAGGACAAAAGGCAAGTTGCTCTGCATAATAAATCAAAGCTAACAACTCTTTTGATGACAAAAAAATATAATAAAGGTTACTAACAAATGCACACCTGAAAAGGAAAAATAAGAGAACATGGGTTACAGCAATCTTGACGGGCACTGCATGGTACTCCCGCATCACAGCATATGAAACATTGGTCAGTGATGTGCCTTAGGATTTTCCTCGACACTGTTTGCAATATGCCAGGAAGTGCTGCAATAAAAGTTACCATACATCAGGGATAATTAATCCTGCGAATGCTACATGTTAACTTTTAAAGCTAACCACTTATTAGCAAGAAACTTCAAAAACGATAGAACAGGCACATTTTCTATTGCACAAAACACATGGAAGTGGGCACAGGAAAAGAAAAATAACTCGCATGTACAGCACATTTAAGCAGTAAACTAAAAATAGAAGCTAACCAGCAAAGGCTCCTTTGGAAAGATCAATCAAATCTTTCAGAGCAAAAAAGTCATTATTTTCTAGAAGATATCTCCGCACTCCAAGCACATTGCTGATAGACCTCCTGAATGGGCAGCGAACAAATGGAAGCATGGTCCCTATCTTTTTCCTGACACGCATAACATGATGTAAGGCAGGGGCCTTTGACAAAAGGATGGGATTAACTGCAGTGACGCAAAGCAACGGCTGCACAAGGAAATCAATAAACATAATGTCAGACTTGTTCAAAAACAAAACTGAGAACAGTAAGAATAACTTCCAAATATACAAAGTTAAAATGAGTAAGAAGCATGTGCACCTATGCATTCATCAATCGAAAACCAGGCAAGTAAACCTCAATATCTAATATAAGGTTAACAAATTCTTATGGCTTGCAATTGAAAAACTGGACTGACCAATTTGACTGAAAATGAAGTAGCTGGCTAACTATAATAGTGAAGCTTGCAAAATGGTCAAAGACTCAAAGTTAATAGAACCAACTGCTTGACCAGTGAACAGATGTTGTTTTAATGGCCTAGAAGCAAGTCAACAGGAGCTGACATTTCAAGCCAAGAGAATTCACTTTCATTATAGGCAATGCAAATATTCTACGTCCTTAAAAATTAATAAGTTTGTTTCTCAGAGAAAATAAAATTAAATTTGATGTTTCAGTTTCTTTTGGGGTTGCAAATATTCTCTGTCCAAGCCTGAACTGGACAATAACTAGAACGAGTAGTTAGTGTTAACCAATAAAACCTAAACAAGCACCGACATGACATTAAGAAAAAAATTATACGGCATCACTTCTCAATATTTGTCCAATAACAGATAAATGTCATACTTTCCAGATAGCAATAAAAGCATAGCCATAAGTGCATATCATTGTCACACTTTAAATTTTGTTGCATCCAAAAGGAGAAAGGAGAGAGAAGCAGAAACAATTTCTAGTTACTTATACACAAAACCTTCATGTTTCAACATGAATCAAAGCCATAAAAAGGATTAAACAATAAATAAGATATGCAAATGCTATTTTTAAGGTTACCTGGTCATTTATAGAATCAAGGTAAGACTTTGCCAGTTGAGAAACTGAATAATGAGTAAAATCCCAATGATGCAAAACCCTTGCAGGCAACACTGCAGTCTCATTTGTATGGCAAGAAGAACAGAATAATTTAGCAGTGTATTCACAGAGTCGAGGCTTGCCCCATCCAAATGTCTGTAGAAAATCCCAGATTGAAGTTGTTCCGTCATCAAAATGCCTATGGCATCCAGCACAACAGTTATGTTGTGCTGCCAACATCTGTTCAATGGATTTAGATGGAGGAATTTCAACTATAAGTGATATGGCCTTCCCTAAACTGGAATAGTTTCTTTTTACTGTCACACTTGTAAAAGAAGAGCTAGGCATCAATGCACTTTCAGGGGACAAAAACCAAACTAATGCACCTGGAGGACTAGAAAAGAGACTGATATGAAGAATGGATTGCAAACACTCCTGAAGGAGAACGCTTCTCTGCACAATAGCTTCGGGAGATGCACTTCCAAATATCTTCCTAGTTTCTTTTTCTACAGCACACCAAGGGGGAGGTAAATCCCATTTTTGCTCTGTGAATAAGGTTTTCATGCAATGGTAGAGAGTGAGGAAATCACGATACCGTCTTTCAATCACCCAATGGTCTTTGCCACTCCACACTTTTATTTTATACACAGTGTATTCCTTTATCCCCACCAATCTTTTGCTGAAAGAAACATCTCCCTTCTTCTGCCTTGCACCTACAACTTCAACCCTATCTAATCTCAATGGAGGTTGAACAAGCAGGCAACCACCATCTGTACCAGAAGTAGAGGCTGTCAACCCACCATCTCTTAAAGGCTTAAAAATTGTGGCTCCAGCAATCTATTGCCCTGAACAAGCCTAAAACCAGCAGAATCAATAGACTCTAGTAAAATTTCTTCCATTTCATTAACATCATCATACAGTTCATTTAGCTCAAAATTCTTCTTCTGCAAATATATAATAGAATCATAAGCACCTCTTAGTTTCCAAAATGAGCAACATGCACACACATATCAAACAATATTGTGATACTGTTCAAGAATTACACGGATTTACAAACCAAAAATGCATCAAGAAGAAAAGCAACAACTTTAAACAAACTATCAAACAATCAAGGCCGATTGAAGACCACTCAAACCAATAATTTCAACAGAAGAATGTCAAAACAGTTCACCCATAAATCATAACCTATCACTGATCCGGTAAGCAGTTATATCAAAAGTCTAGTATATGTACAATCAAAAGTAGTTGCTTCAAGCTACATAGGTATATTACAAGGCATCTTAACATTTTGTTTAGATTATTGTTCCAATCATGGAAATGTAAAAATATCTAAAATTTAATCCTCCACAAAAGAAAAAAAAATGATTGAATTGTCTTTTAAAACAGTCTATCAAAAACTATGCGTATGATTTGTTCATTATGGGGTCATAAATGACATATCAAGAGGTGCATTACTTTACATATTAAGCAAAGTATTTACTGACCTTTGATGTCACGGGACTTCTCTTAGAGAGATTTGTCGAGGCGGAAGAATTGTCGAATGTTTTCCTCATTTCACAATTTGAAGAAGGCACTATTGCTTCGAGGTCCAGAAATGATGCTGCATTTATGTTCCCAGGTTGTGTGGCTAGATTGATGGACTTTAGATCAAATTTACTATTAAAAACAAGATCAAACTTGACTTGAGAATTATCCAGCTCTGGGGCTTTGGCTTGTTGAGCATTGCCACTAGTGCTATCAGATTTTTCAGTCTTCGTAACTTCTTCCACGGCTCCATCATCATCAAATTCTGAAGTCTCATACTTAGGAGCTTCTTTTGTTAGAAGATTTAAACCTACCCTATAATCCTCGGCGGTAAAATAAGTTTTAGGACAACTAACCGAATTGTCAACATCTTTGACCTGTGCTCTGAGTATATTTGGATCCGTGGCTCTATCGATTTGCAGATTAGATTCACGGCCAATGTACTCGTACTCTCCCCCAACTGTTAACACAATTCCAGAGCACTCCCCATCCGCGTCACCCAACAAATAATTCTCAGTAGTTCCTACAGCATCACTCTCGTTACCGGACAGAGTTTCAAGGGACTTTGTGTGTATTCCTATTTTGTTTCGTCCTATACTCATTTCAGAACCGTTATGAATAGAATTCTGGTCCAAATCATTGTCTAATTGGTTGGTCCCCTTAAAACTCGATGCAACTAGCATGGAAGTAGCAGGAGCTTCGTCGTTGTCACCTCCATGCAATTCTAACCCAATGGAGCTGCATTTTAAGTTCTGGTGAATCTGGATATTCCCACTGCGAATCCCAGCTAGCAAAAATGGCGTACTGCTCGAAGCACCGATCGATGAAAGCATCTGATCCTTGCTCGTAATAGCAACTATATCTCTTAAACTAAAATTCTCCAGATCACTTTTATCAGATTCCGTAAAATCGTTGAAAACAGTAACCGTGCTACACACACTTGGGGTACCCAAGACCGAGTTCGCGCTACAATAGTTGTCGAAATCGGACTCTCCACATGATGAATAGCGTGAAGATGGAGAAGAAACATCCCCATTATCGAATGGCAAAACCTGCAGGGCAGGAAGCGAATCGAAACGATCGAGAGAGACGGCTTCGCAGGCGGCCTGGCAAGAGCCGTCCCCATGATGTATCATTTGAAGCTCAATAAATCCTAAAAATCGAAGCTTTTAGAATAATGAATCAAAAGGAAGGAGGAACCAAATCAAGGATATAGCCCTGATTCGGTTCAATCAAAGTATCCAGGAAACGGACACGGAGCACCTTACCTGTTGGCGCTGCAGACACAGAACTCAGGTGATCGGGATTTCTATTGCGACGAATTCCAATTTCTGAGTCACAAATACTGAAAGCCTTCAAAAATTTCATTCCAAAGGAAAGCAGAGAGGCGGGAGCTACCTTGGTTTTTTGCGCTGGGAAAAAAAATTTAAAATTCCGAATCCAAAGAGCGTCAATCAAATGTACCATACATGGGCGAACAGAGTTGGCAAGCTCAGGGTCACAGAAAGATGGGACTTTTTTTAATGGTTGTGATTACCTGGCCACAGCCGCTCACGTATTTGGATTACAAAGAACGAGAACTTGACATCGCACTAGCCCTATTTGTCTCTTTTACCAAGATAGGCGCAAGTTCCCGCAAAGGGTTAAACAGCAGAATGACGGCCAAAAGCCCAACAGGCGCGCATGGTATGCCTTTGTGACTGTTGATAACCATGCCGCCGCCACACACCCTCTCAAATGTTTAATACTTTAATTCAGTGTAAATGCTAAAAATATATTCAAACAAAGGTTTAAATGCTAAAAAAAATATTAAGATACTGCAATGTTAAGGCTACTTATTTCACCTAAATGACGGAGTTCCCTGTTTCGACTCATACATGGTTGTTAACTTGTTAGTATTGTGCTTCTCGGGGGAAAAAAAAATCTTGTTATTATTGTGCTGGTAGAGGAAACTTGTTATTGTTGTGATTGTGAATATTGAATTTTACTAATACCAGGTTTTGGCCAAATTTTACTATTATTGATTATTGAATGTGGGGAACAGCCTGTGGCATAACAGTTATGTTTGTATTTATTGAAATAAAGACAAGAGTTTGGTTGGAAGAGTTAATTCCTCAAAATATAACTACTCTTGAGCTTTTTCGTATGTGTTGCTTGTTGTATAACGGTTTTGTTTTTCTAATGGACCTAAACTTATGTATTGTCAGTTTAATAAATTTAATCTTAAATCACTAATGGTAATTGTATAAAGAAGGGGCTAGTTTTTCGCCAAGCATAAAATTATGTATAAATTCTTATTGAAAGAGACACTTACACTTGTATTATAGGGGGAGGAAGATTGTTAATAAAAAAAAATTGTATTATAGTTGTGCATAAATAAAAGAATTGACTTTATTAAAACAATAATTAAAAGGTAAAAAATGTTTTGAAATATTTTTTATAAAGAACATTAGTAAATTAAATTTTTTGTTAAAGCACTTTAATTCTAAAACTTTTTGAAAAGATGTGATATCATCATGTAGGGTTAATCATTAGCTAGTCCATTCAATTGCAATGTGTCAACCATGACATTTAAAAAAAAAAAAAAAAAAATAGATTTACACTTGACATGTCCAGGCAGCAAGTGAACCTCTTCCATCATTTCTCTTCTTCCACTAGATATCACAAGGGGGATGAAAACCATGGAACATGACAAAAGAGCAAGACGTTGGCGGTGAAATTGACATCAAGAGGGAGCAAACTCAAGTCCTCGAGCTAGTCTTTGCGAGATCAATGACATTGAACTACATAATTTGATGATTGTTAATAAAAAAAATTCATATTATAGTTGTGTACAAATAAAAGAACTGATTTTATTAAAATAAGTTTAAAAAGGCAAAAATGTCTTAACATTTTTTTTATAGAGAGCATTTAATATCTTAAATTTTGTTAAGAATGATGTAATATTACCGTGTAGGGTTTACCATTAGTTGACCATTCAATTACAATATGCTAGCCACATGACATTTTTTTTTAAATTAAGAAAAAAAATATTTATGCACGACACATCCACGCGGCAAGTGAATCTCTTCATCATCTCTCTTCTTCCATCAAGTATCACAGGGGAGATGAAAAGCATGGAACACAGCAAAAGAGCAAGACCTTGGCAGTGTAATTCAACCGTGAGAGGGAGCAAACTCGAGTCCTCAAACTAGTATGTGAGATTAGTGACACTGAACTACACAACTCAATGATGCGATAGACGAGCTTCAACGAGATTGACGGACAAAAAGACCGGTTGGGCTCAGTACACTTGACGGTGGCTTCAGGCAACGAACGGACAAGTTTGCATGGTGAGTAGAGAACTAAATCGTGGGGGTTGGTATTCAATTGGTAGTGCTAGTGATTCCTAATTTGGCTCTTCGTCTTCTGCTACTTGTTCTCGTGAATTATAAGAAGCTTGAGACTCTTTCTTTTGTTACTCTCTGTTAATTCTCTGCTAATGGTTATTATTCCATTCAGAGATCTACAAGGGCTTGGGCTCTTTTTTCACCTGTTTTTATTTTTTTTTCTTTACCTGCATGAACTGGGTTTTTGTTTGAAGCATGCACAGGATGGTGAAAAATAGAAAAAGAAGAATTGGATGAATGTGAAGCTTGTTAGAGTAAAAAGCCCATTTGTTTTTTAAAGTTGAGGAAGATGAAGCCAAAGAAGAATACTGATCCTTTAGGTTTTTAACAACTATGGTCATAGGTTATAAGGCTATCGTGGAGTCCTTGATAGCTTGGATCAGTACAGGTGAAATCTCATCTCCTTTGCAAAGTCTATAACATAAGCTGGTGCGAGTGCCTCCTCTAAAGTTGATAAACACATCATATTTTTTGGAAATTGGTGTAAAGAGGAAGAGGATAAAGCAACAATGGCATGTGCGAGTATTGCCTTCGAGCTATTATCTAAAAGCTCAATTTCCAACACGTGTTCCACAAAAATTATTATTGTAGTCCAAATTCAAAATCTTTTTTTTTATTTTTTAAAAAATCCAATTGGCTATAACTAAATAGTCTAACAGTCAACCGGTAGGATAATATTATATCCTTTTTAAAATTTTCATGTGAAAATGCTTCAATAAAAAATTTAGAATATAAATCAACTTATGAGGATTTACTATTTGATATTGTTAATAAAGGAAAAGTATTGAGAAAAAAAGTAAAAAATCAGATTTAAAATTTAAAAACATACGAAACTAAAAAAAAACAAATGTTAAAATAAAAAAAAAGATTAAAAGTCAATTTTATCTCTGAACTATACAAAAAAATCACAAATGCCCCTAAACTCAATTTGGGGTCAATTTTGTCCCTTAACCTACGAAATTTTGCTAGCTGTGCCCTTAACTTCAAACTGCACATTGTTCCTCTTATATGGGTCCTACATTTAACTATTTTAATATTTTTTGTTATAAACTATTATGTGGTGGGTCCAATTATTTTTATATTTTTTATAATATAGAAATATATACCTCTCTCCTCCATTCATCTCCCTCTCCGTCTTTGTCTCCCTTTCATCTCACTCTCTCTCCTTGTTGAACTTTTGGCTTGTTAGTAGGAGCACATTGGCTTTACTTTGTTGCAAGTCATGAGTTCGTTCCCACTAGAGAGAGAAATGAAGCACTCTCCCTCCAATTCATCTACCTTAATTTAATCAAGCAAGAGAGATGATAGCCAGTGTCAAGCAAGAGACAAAGAGTGGTTCATGATAACGTTCGCTTGGTTGATGAACTTGATGGAGAGAGAGTGGTAAAAGAAAGAGAAGATAAAGAAGATGAGAAGGGTGATGTATTTGAGAGCCACCATGAATTTGCTGTGAGATCTGAGCTGCTTTTTTGTGTTGTACATGCTAACTTGCATAAGTGGCTTCATCCTGAATAAATTGCAAATCGAGGGAATGGCATTATCATGGTGCAGGTTCTACCGTGGATGCTTAACCTTGCTAACCAAATGCTCCATCTTTGCTCTCCCTCTCCCATCTTTCTCTCCTTACAATTGTGTCTCCTCTTTTTCATCATTTTCTTATTGTCTCTTTCTCTCCGTACATCCTCCACATCCTTTGATAAACCTAAGCACTATCTTATTCACTACATCAATGATGTAGTAGAGCATGATATCAATAGTGATAGTCACATTGAGATGCATGATGTGAGACGTGTGCTATATAGTGCGGACACCATCCCTAGTAGTTGCTTTGGCCTATTCCTTAACCTTATTTTCATATTTGCATGGCTCTCCACTATCATCACCTCTATATTTGCAATGCACGACCCCAACGGTGCCTCTCCCGTTATCATCGAACTCTCCTTGCTTTTGCTCAAACTCATCAAGTATTGCAAAAACATGAAAAACTTTGAGAACAATGTCTTATTAGATTCCTTACTCTTAAAAAATATAGCCTTTGCTTCAACTCCTTCACCGTCATCTACTCCAACTCCCCCATGTCACCCAAGTTGTCTGTGAAGGGAGGAGGAGAGAGAAGAGAAAGGGAGTGTAGGAATAGAGGGAAGAGAGAGAGGGTTTGTTTACATTATAAAAAAGTAATAAAAAATAATGAGACTCATTAAAGTAATAAAAAATTTAAATATGAGCTCTACAAGTTAAAAAAAATAATCGAACAAGTAATAGGATGATGGATTTAAAAATTTTAGTATTAGAAGAATATAAATAATTTATAATTAAGTTTAAAATTATTTATAAATTTTTAGATATAATTTAGGAATAAAATTTCGCTTAAAAGGTCCCTCGCTGCTCAGTACTTTTCTCCTCCTAAAACCCTAAAGCCCGTTCAGCAGGGGAATATCACACCCAAAGCACCCCTTCAATGGCTAGCTCCACGGAGGCTGGTGTTGAAGCTCTTCATCATCTGCGGGCGACGGGTCCAGTGCCGTGGCTCACGCGAGATCCATTGCTCACTCAAACTGCTCGTCTCGCCTCACAGTATCTTTTTTCCTCTCTCAAGCCCTTCTCTAAAAAATCGCCATTGGACGAGCTCCTGGTCGACGGATTCGATGCCGAGCAGATATGGCAGCAAATTGACCTCCAATCACAGCCTCTGTTACCCACTCTTCGCCGGCGATTGAAGCAGCTGGAGGAAAATCCGGAAGAAATTTCCAAGATGAAGGAGCCTCTAGAAGGTCAAAAGAAGATGGAGGGGAAAACGAAAGAGGTGTGGCACGAAGAAAGTGACGGGTTTGATGGGGAATTAGACGATTTTGATGGTGATGACGATGAAGAAGGCGTTGAAGAGGAAGGAAAAGATGGCGAGAAAAGAGGAAAAGCAGAGGCAGAGGAGGAGGAGGAGGAGGAGGAAGGCCTTGAGAGCGAGGAAGAGGAAGAGGAAGGTGACTATGGAGGTATTCAAGATGATTTTTTTAAAATAAAGGACTTGGAGAAGTTCTTGGAGAAGGAGGATAATAACTTGGAGAAAGATGATGCCGAACAGCTAAGGGAAGGTGATGATGAAAGTGATGAGGTGAAACTGCTTCTGGTTCTTTCTTTCTTTTTAGTCACTGTGCTTTGCTCGATATTATATTATACACATTCAGTGTTAGCCCTGCTGGTTTTAATTGGTTCGCCCTTCTGTATGTTGTTTTTTTTGTTTTTCTTCTTTATCATTCACCTACGTCTGCAAGATGCACAACGCGTCGATTCGGTTCTCATTATTTATGCTCTCGGCTCATTCTTATTATTTTGTTATAGGCTGGTGGATTTGGCCTTGGCATTGATGATGAATTCGAAGATCCAGAGGACTTTAAATACGCAATGTACGTATTATTTTGCTCTTCCACTAAGGGAAACCATTTTTCTTTCCTCACTCGTTTTCGGCTCATTCTCATGATGCGAAAGCTTAATCATACACACCTTAAAAGTGACCCTATGCTTGCCCTTTCATAGACTAATGAGGCAACGGCTAGTGACTAAACTAACATCCCTAACTAACTTAAACGAGTTACATTATAAGAAAAATCGTGATTATTATTGCTGTAGATCTGTTGTATATTCAATATAGAATATCGCCCAACTCACTTCTTTATTTCTTTCATTATTATCATAACACGCGCACAAAAGGTTGATGTAATAATTTCCTCCCATTTTTTTCTTTTCATTTGAGTACAACATTTGAAAATTCATTGATCAACGATTGAAAGAACATGAAGAAACGCAACTACTATTGCCTGCCCCAAGGATTCGCCTTTAGTGCTTGCGTTTAGATGTCTAGTGTTTTACTGTGTTGATATGGTGTGGTGTTTTTGCTTTGCTGGTCTTTATGTAGTGAGATGCAAAATGATATGCAACTGGCTGATTCCACTTTCCTAGGTTTTCAATCATGCAAGTCGTTGACCTTTTTTATTGGTGTAATCTTTACTCTGGATTCATTATTTGGTCTATTCTTGTCAGGCATGACGACCTCTTTCCTCCTAAAAAAGTAAGGGGATTCTGGCAAGAAAAAGAAAGAAAGAAAAAGAGATTGTTAAATCGGGGGTCTGAAGATTCTGATGCAGATGACATGGAATTTGATGGACAAGTATTATATTGTTTTTATTCTGTAGGGTTTATACATGCATGACATGTAAGTTCTCATATTGTCTTCTTATTCATATAGAATCAAGAGACCATTTCTACCCATGAAAAACAACTGCAAAAGATCCAAGCAAAGATAGAGCAGATGGAGAAATCTAACTTGGAGCCAAAAACGTGGACCATGCAGGGAGAGGTAATGTAGTAGTTACTCCCCCACACTCTTCTCTCGGAACTTTTGTGGGTTGCTTTTGTGAGCCTTCATGCTTAATCTTTAGATATTAGATTACTGACTTTGGCTTTTAGTAACAGGTGACTGCAACCAAGAGACCCATGAACAGTGCTTTGGAAGTTGATCTTGATTTTGAGCAAAATGCAAGACCAGCTCCTGTAATTACTGAGGAAGTTACAGCTTCAATCGAGGAGATGATCCAGAAAAGGATCCTTGAGGTAAATTGAAAAGCTGAGATGGTATGAATTTGGACTTTACTGTGATGCCTCCTGTATTTCATTCAATGATGGGAGGCTTTTAACGAACGGCCATTTATCTAAATCTATGTGCTAAGCTGATCTGTGGTTCTGCACTGAACGACTGACTATTGAGTTATACATATAAGACGTGTACACTCTCACCAATCCTTAACATAAGACACCTTCTAGAAGTCTTTTTTGGTCTTTAATATAAGACACCTTATAAAACTTGATTAAGCATTAATGGGTTATTTCTGAAAATGCTCACATATTCAATTGTTTCATTTGAGTGGCATGTTTGACTTGAAGATTTAAAGGTAAGGCTTCTAATTTTCATTGAGGGTAATTTGGGATTTCAATATAATGTTTTTTAAAAATCAAGATTCTTAACTAATTTTAACTACTTTCCTTAATCTGTGCGATTTAGTTAAAAGTTTTTTTATAAATAGGACCAGAGAGAGTATGCTTTAAATATGCTCTAGTCAAGCATAAATTTACGTTTTTTCTAACTCATGTTAATTATAGGGACGTTTTGATGACGTTCAAAGGGCTCCCAAATTGCCATCAAAAGCATCTAAGGAAGTAAAAGAGTTGGTAAGCTCTGTTTCCATAAAATAAATAGAATATTGAGGTATCATTGCTTTCTAGCTGTATTGGTAGCATAATTAATCATAATCTCTGTGATGAATTCAGGATGAGAATAAAAGCAAGAAGGGTCTTGCAGAAATTTATGAGGTTTGTATTTTTTTTACTGTCATGCATTGCAACGCATAAATCCCCCACTATAACCCCTGTTGTCTTTGCTTATGGTTTACCTAAAAATGCCCTTTTTATTGCTAAATTCTGTATAGGAAGAATATGTTCAAAAGATAGACCCTACTTCTGCTCCATTATCGTTCAAAGATGAACAGAAAAGAGAGGTGCATGCTTTAATTGTTTGCTTCAATTTTATATTTCTCGTCTGTTATATGTTTCACTTATTTATAGGATGATAAGTCGCTGGTTTTAAAACGGGCTGTATAACCTCCCTTCTCAAAAATATGCTGAACTGTGTGCTAGTAACTTGTGATCAGGCAAGCATGCTGTTCAAGAGACTCTGTTTGAAGCTGGATGTTCTCTCTCATTTCAACTTTGCTCCAAAACCGGTGTGACATTCAATTTAATTCATGCAATGTTATGCACTTGAAACTTTAATTGTAGTCTTGTAATGGTTGCTTTGTATTGAACTCAACAGGTTATGGAGGACATGTCTGTCCAAGCTAATGTCCCTGCTCTGGCAATGGAAGAAGTAAAGAGCTATTTCCTTTTCTTCTTAAACTTTCTTAGCTGAACCTTATTTAAACTACTGGTTAATTAAAACTTTGATGCTTTCCATGCGTAGATTGCACCAGTGGCTGTCTCAGATGCAGCTATGCTGGCTCCTGAGGAGGTCTTTGCTGGCAAGGGTGATGTCAAGGAAGAAGTAGAGCTTACAAAGGCAGAGAGAAAAAGAAGGAGAGCAAATAAGAAAAGAAAATTTAAAGGTAAGATCAGCGAGGCTACCAGGAATCTGACCTGTCCATAACCTGCATTTGCTGTTTTTTCAACATTTCCGCAATCATACATGCTCATGGGTTACGCTATCATGTGAGAAAACCTAACAATTTTTCCATTTCTTCCACACTGCTAACAACTTTTGGCAATCGTAATTACAGCTGAGGCGGTGAAAAAGATGGCAATGAAGGTTCGAGATAATGTAGCTCATAGCCAAACTGATGGTAATTTCTTGATTATATGATGTTAATCTCTCAAGATTTAATAAAAACACTCCAATTTTGCTTATTTTTTCATATATTTGATGCAAGTAAATATTTAAGGGATCACTTTTATCTTACGACAAGAAAAAGAGACTGGATCAAAATATAGGGCATTGTTAACAAAGTCACGGTTCAAAAAAAATGTTAGTTGAAATTTTATTTTTTTTTTAAATATTTGCATCTTTTTTATTTTACCCTTATTAAATGCCCTGTATAAGTGTTGGGTAATTATAATTAAAATTCTAATGCATCAATTTTTTGTTTTCAAAAAGAGTAATAAATGAAGTAGGAGTGTAGTTGAAAAAATGATTATAAAGATTGCCTAATATCTTATATTTTGGACCAAGCAAAGCTAGAACATGCTCTACATTGTGGTTCACAGAGAGTATGATGTTCAGATTTGAAATGTGGTAATCCCTAGAAGTGCTTATTCATTTGCTTTTGGACATAATTCTACGAGGAATATCCTCGTAATTTTATCCAATTAAACGCAGTGGATGATTGCTGTTATCCCAAAAAAAAAAAATGCAGCGGCGTTTGCGAAACTTATTGGTAGTTATTTCTGAAATTTAGTATAAATAACTTGGCAGCTTTTAACATTGAACGTGCCTTACAGTTGCAGGCTAAGAACAGTGAGATCTAGCATAGGATCTAATACCATAAGAAGCTTGTTCAAAGCCGTCCTAATCAACAGGAGTTGAAGGAGACACTCCGTGGCAGAGGTTACAAATGGTTGGTAGGAGGACCCCCAATTGCATTCAGGCCTGCTTATTGCTGCAGAAAGATGTGGCTAATTTAGGACTCGGCTATGGATGACTCAGGCTCAAACCTTTCTTGTATTTCTCCACTAATTGATTAATTAATTTGATCTATAGTGAAATTGAATGATGCACGTGTACAATACTTTTATCCCCCTATTGAAGGGCATATGAATGCAATTTGATGTGTTCCCACTTCCTGTAAGTTACGAAAGATCCACCCTGCCATACAATTAATGGAAATCTAACTTTAACTGGTGGCCACTCTTCGAAGATACTTCCAAGATTCACTTATGATAAATTATCCATAAAGCACCAATACCTATGAAATGGTTTTTCGTCAAACATCTGCAGAGTCAGTGAATGTGTAATCTTAGGGAGTTTTCATTTTCTTTAGCTAAGCACATTGTAAGAATACTACACAACTGTTGCCAAATACCAACACAACGAAAAGGTTAATTATGTTGAATGTGTAATTTTAAAATACAGATGAGGAGGCATTATGGCTCTTCAGAAGTTTTCTTCTCTCGTGTATTCTTTCTACAGAGCTATCTTTTTTTATTGGCGAGGTGGGGCATGAGCGCTGAGCAATCTTCAGCTTCTCATTGAGCAACATACTATTAATGGAAGATAGAAAACTCCAATGTATGCAAGGATTAATTTATAAACATGGTGTACCTGGACGGTGGCTGATCCAGTTCCGACAACATCAAAAGCATCATTGACACCTCGCTCCTCTGCTAGCAGATTCTGTGTGACATAAAATGCAGCAGTGACAAGCACTGATTGGTTAGCAACTCAAATGAGCCGCCTCTCCATTGCATCTCTCATCAATCGATACTGCTCACTTTTATCTGAGGCGCCTTCAATCCCAAGCTTCAAGATCACTAATGCATCCTTGCTATAGCAAAACATGGGCAATTCTAATTGGATGTCAAAATTGAGAGGATAAGGGAAAAATTAGCATCTGATGATCTGACTTAACACGGCGAAAACCACCAGGAACAGGACGTATGATTAGTTAAAGGAAAAAGCGAAAAAAGCAAGCATACCAATCAGTATCTTAATTTTTCTTGTTTTATTGGTAATTCCCCATTATAATTGAAGTTCACAGCTCGCATATGTTAGCAAGTCGTAAGGTTTGTTCATGAATATGGACCTCGTATAATAGTGAGCCGGGTGTGATGGATTATCGCTGAATTCAGATGTAAAAAGCTTCTATTGTAGTTTCAGCTAACATGGGCGCGTGTTTTTTTTTTTTTTTTTTTGGGGGGGGGGGGGGGGCGTTACTTCAATCATTATCGGATTCCCAAATCAACTTACTTTTCTCACCATTCCCACAAAAGCCTACCCTTTGGCCAACAGAATTTCCAAAGCTACCCAAAAAAAAAAAAAGAACTCGGAAAACTAAAAATCCTTCCCCAGCAGAACAAAAAGTAAAGGAAAACCCACAAACAACTCAACATCACATGTGAATAAAGCTATCTTCAAATCAATAACATCAGATGCATGTCTAGTGCTTTTGCCTTCAAGCAACTATCGTAAGCATCATTGCGATCTCATTTCCTTCTTAATCTCTCTCTCTCTCTCTCACACACTCAACTATGAAAACAGTGTTCCCAACCTTGTGTTTCTTAATTTTTACAACATATCTGATCCCACCAAGGTTTGTCCTCGCTAACTCATGCCGATCATACTGTGGGAACATAACCATAGATTACCCGTTCGGGCTCCAATACGGCTGCGGCCACCCGGGCTTTCGGGACCTTCTCTTCTGCATGAACGACATTCTAATGTTTCACGTAAGCTCTGGGTCTTACAGAGTTCTGGAAATAGACTACGCATACCAGTCTCTCACTCTTCACGAGCCTCACATGTCGACTTGCGACACAATTGTGCTCGGAGGTACCGGCAACGGCTTCTCGGTGGAGCCTTGGCGGGAGGCGTATATGAATCCGACCGCCGACAACGTCTTCATGCTAATAGGTTGCTCAGCCGAGTCACCTCTGTTCCAAGGTTTCCCAGAGAAGCACGTACCGTGTCGAAACGTTTCAGGTATGGGCTGTGAGGAGTACTACGGGTGCCCGGCATGGGACAGGGTGGGCCACAAACGGTTCGGGTCGACGTATTTTGGGTCAGGCCCACCAGCATGTTGTGCCATACCCTTCGAGGCGATTAAGGCTATTAACCTAACCAGGCTTCAGTGTGAAGGGTACAGCAGTGCTTACAATCTTGCACCGCTGAGACTAGATGGGCCGGGAGGGTGGTCGTATGGGATCCGAGTGAAGTATTCGGTGCAAGGGAACGACGATGAGTTTTGTGGAGCGTGTGAGGCAACAGGTGGCACGTGCGGCTATGGTTCAGATGGGATCAGGCAAGTCTGTATGTGTGGGAACTCCAATTCAACCTCCAACTGCGATTCAGGTCAGTAAGTAAAGTCCCGTTTTAAATGTGAAGTAAATTTGGCTTCGTTTCCAAATTCTGTTTATAGTTAGCTGTGACGGTAAGATCTTTTCCCCCTTAATGTCCAGGAAGCGCATCAACAGTGACAAGGCCTATAACGCCCAAAATGGTCGTAGGTATTTACATTGGCAACCTATCGGGCACTAATGTGTTGTTTAATGTATATAATTTGGAAATTGGAGTATAATTGTCATTTTAAACTTGTGCAGGATTATTGACGTACATACTGATGTGGATGACAAGCAAAAAGATTTGAATAATGCCATATGAGGCTACCAACAAAACCTGACTCATGGGTCCCATATTGTAAATGTCATAATTTGTGTTTGGCACATGCACATACGCTTTATGAGTATATTCTCGTGTCAGTCGTTCCTATATTTTTCATGGTATTTGGCTCAGATCGAGTTTTGGTGAGTGTTTCTGTACTTCCTATTCCCAGTGATGGACATAAAATGCCATGCATGATATTTGTCCACAGGATCAAATTTGAGAAATGATTCCTGTGAACAGACTACAAAGTTCCAATCCTTCTAACCATTCGAAAACTTTTTCAGTGGATTATTACTTGAACAAGCCATGACACAAATGGCACTCGTATGCATACAGCAAAAGGACAAACAGGCCCTTGTTAGAAGATTTAAGCATATTCCAAGGCGGAATCCTCTTTATATTTCTGCAATGATCGAGAAATGAAATCAGCAAATTGTGACCATTGGAAAGAAGTGAATTCAGGTCCAGAATTTACTTACAATTGATATATCTTTCCACAAGTTGAGAGTTTTGAGGGCCTTTCCTGATTGCTGTGTTTCACGAGCCACAGACACTCCTTCTGCTAGGTTCCTCACGCAGCCGCCGACCATGAGAGCTGCTGCAGCATTCAGAATCTTGCCATTTTTTGTACAGAAAAAAACAATGGATATTAAGAGGCAAGTACGTAAACATTTTGAATAGCTAGGCTTGCAGATTATAACATCCTAGCTACAGTTGAAATCAAAGCATCTTCGTTTATTTATTGCTATTCAAGGCCAGTCTCTCCCCATCACTTATAGCGGTGTCATAATCTCAGAGAAGTTAAGATACTTACCAAAGCAACGGCTAAGGGCCCCCTCTCTCCAGCAAGAACGCGCTTCAGAATCTCGGCATTGTAATCTGGGCCACAACCTTTCAGGCTCTCTAGATTGCGCCGAAGAATGCCGAATTCCACTGTTCGAAGAAACAATCTGAGGTGAAGAGTGAATTTAAATATGCATACCTAATTAAAAATTAGTTGAAGGCTGGTTTAATTGCCGATGAGCTGCATTAATTTACTTCATAACAGAAGGAGATTTTAAAACAGTAAGTATTTATCATATCATATGCATACATGGATCAAATGAGAACTCATCAATTCTTTCTGAAGTGACATCAAGTACCAGCCCAGGTCCCGTAAGTAATGCAGAACAAGATGTTAGAAATCCCAGTCAAATCCAAAGTAGATGCCTATCTATATCTTCCAACAAATAAGCAACGTCTAGAACTGCATCAAAAGCAAGAGATCTTACCAAGAGAACTCATATCATCTAAACTTTCAGAGTGCACAACTAGAGTTCTTTTCATGCCAAATGTTTGTAGTGCTTCCATTTTGAAGACCTATTTAAAAAGAAAAACAAAGAGATTCTTAACAATGACGTATTTAGAGAAAAACACCACAAATCACATCCCAGTGCTTTCTAGAGCATATCGAAAACTGCTTTATAGTTTATTTAAGTGTAAGCAAGCAAGCACTGACTGAGCATGATAGCTATGCTAAAAAGACCCATAAGCACTTAAGCACTGGTGTTGTTAATTTAGTTCGAGATCTCATCTCAGCAGGTTTCTACTTCTACTTTCCCAAAAGGTCAGAACTATTTGTTATTTTCAATTAGGTTCCACAAGCCCTTCATTTAAAACACAAGTTATTGTAGGTGATTTACAATTTTCAGCTAGCCTTGACTGTTGTCACACGATCAACCTAAACAAGTAACTTAATCAGTTGATTATAGAGTAACCGATCGCTCATATGCATGGAATCTACTTCTATCTAACAGGAGAAGTGTCCACAGATTGTGAAAGAAACCAGAGACCAAGATCTCAAAGGCGCAGATCATTTTATGTCCACATCTATTATGTCTATGAATACTATCCTTAGCTCCATAATTTTACATTTAGATCCCTTCATCTGAAATGACATAAAATGATAGAGAAAGTCAATTTTCAATTTGATGTGTAGGTTTCAGGGCCAAACAATTAATACAAAGGAACTTACCAAGCCTTCCGAAAATACTCCAACAACTGCAAAAAGGTACCCGGGCTGGATTTAACATGGGACCCAATACATTGAATGCAGTTTTTACTTTTAGCTTTTTTCTAACAGGACTAACAATCTTCATAGCTGGGTGGTATTTCGGAGACATCATAAAGCCAATTCCACCTTTGTTCACACACCTCGTTACCCCCTGATTTCCCATCACAATAGGGAAGTAAAAAACTAGATTAGTACATGCATTTATCGATGACAACAATTGCTCTTTAATACATTAAGTAAACATACAAGCTTAAAATACTCTCTCCCTCACTCTTGAGCCATCCCTATTCTGAAATGGAATTACTCCTGATGATTGTAAAATTTTACTCCGATTTGATATGTATCATGGGCACATAGACCATATTTCTGATCTTTTGTTTTGCTCCTGGCTAGTGCCACCACTCTGTATTCCAATAAATAAATAAATAACTAAAAGTTTGAGTTTCACCAAAGAAGGAAATCTGGAAGATTCTTCCAGAAACCATGGAGAAGTGAAATATCCATATTAGAGCTTAGATTTGCTGTTTCATGAAAGTTAGGAAAGCAACATATCTGCCACTGTTATATTCGATTGATGGCCCGAAATAACATTATCAAGTTGTAGACAATGACCTTTCATTTGATAATGAGAATGAACACAGTATTGACAAGTCTCTTAGACAATACAGTCAAATTTTATCCTTAGTAATTATCTTCCACATCAAAAATAGGGCAAGCGTGAACCATTTCCTACCCTTGAGACTCAAGGAAACCGACGAAGCAATTAGATTTCATATAGGCACAAACCAGAGGATCTAAGTCGATAGTCACGCCCAATGCTTCTAATACATCAGCACTTCCACACGCAGAAGAAATTGAGCCGTTTCCTTGCTGCAATATGAAGATTGTTCAATCAAACTTGGATACTCAAAACGATGCACGATGTCAGCATTTGTTATCATTATTGTATTTTAGCCAGTCAATATATTCAATGTAATGCATCTTCACCTTTGCAACTTTGGCACCACAGGCTGCAGCAAGTATTGAAGCTTCAGTTGATATGTTGCCAGTGTTTGCTCCATCACCTCCACTTCCAACAATGTCTACGGCATCAACTAAACCTTCAACCCTCCTGGCACGTTTCATCATCGCTCTCGCTAGTCCCACAATCCATCCACATAAAAATCCCATAATTATTCATTAGCAGCCTCAGGTTCACAATTAGTCTTTAAATGAGGCAATGAGAAAAAGAAACCAAGGTAGAAGGGGGAAAAACAACCATTTCTTATCACGCGAGGAGCATAAAGCAGCTAACTTCTTCAAAAGTTTCCCCTTTGGCTCTCAAAAGCACAAGAAAAGCGCTGATCAGCGCTTCATCCGCTTCATTCAATAAGAATTCAAGAGATGCTTCGGCTTCGGGTTCGGCTTCCGTTAAATCAACACGACTAATCAACGACTTGATCAGCTGAAGAAAATATCCATTACATGTAAAGAATGAAGCGGAAAAATATCTACAAGGAAGACATAAAATAAGAGAACAATGCCGAACCTCGTGGACCGAATTGATCGGGGTGCGTGCATTCTGAGCTGCAATGGCAAAGCTCCTTTGCTTGATGATTGGAGCGAATGAAAAACTTGGGGGGTTTAGGGTGGAAGAGAAAAGTAGATGAGTAGAGGATGAAAGAAAAACTGTGGAAAAAGGAAATAGAGCTCTTGCCGTTGCCATAAGCTAGCTTGGTAATGGAGGAGAGAATACTATGATTTTGTTTAGATGACTATTAGTGAGCATAAAACTGTGAATTACATTACAGTATTCATATTTGCAGTTCCAGTTCTTTGATGCCTATTTTGGGTCGAACAAACTTGTCCAATAGAAAATCAAAATATCAAATTACACAATTCAAAACCCAGTCAACTTGAAAACCGCAAGGATCGGAGGATGCGACATTGAAAAGATACGGGTTATGACTTATTAGTACCAAAAGATTCTGAATTTACGCTTGCAACTGGATTGAGAAATGAACTTCTTCTTCTTCTTCTCTGTCCGCTGGGAGAGGAATGAAAGCCTTAGGAGAGTATTTTCCACAGTCATAGGAGCAGCACTCAACAGGTCCTTCTTGTAAATAAGCACTCATCACATGACTTGATTGACTTAATTGTTATACGGTGCACGCGCGGCCTTTTTTTTTTTTTTTTTAAAAGCACTCATTCAATGAGAAGGGGACCCTGATCACCTGCCAGTAAGTAGTTAAGTACTTCCCTGATTAAAGGGCAATGGACAAATTGATCAGATCTGAAACCCATATTAATGAAGAAGAAGAAATGTTAATTAAAATATGGGTCTTCGTGTTCAGTATTTTTGTTTTCTTCAAAAAATCCATGAAATGTTCTCGTTATTCATGATGTAGATGTGGATAAAGTACGTCCAAAAAAAAAAAAAGTGGATACAGTATCTTTCGTAACCTTAAAGGATACTAATCATTGTAAAGAATTCAGCATATGGTTACAATGAGATCGATTCGAACACATGAACTCTTTTTTTTTTTTTTTGCCGACGAATGTTTCGATACCTTAGTTTTATTGGTTAAATAATGTGTGTGTATATATATATATATAAAAGAATCTGTTTGTCTTCATTTAATTGAAATAATACGATGAATAGGTGAATGCATGAATCCAAGTTTTTGTGTAAGATTTACCATAAATTGAAATGACCAATTTGATGTCACAGTTCCTTTACTTAATAATTTTTTTGAGATTATAATTCAATTGAGACCAATCAAATCTCCCAATAAAATATTTTCTGCTTCGTTTGAATGTGTGAATCCGAAAATTTATATCTGGTGAAAAATCCAAAAAAAAAAAATGAAGTCTACGGAGAATCATAGCATAACGATAAATTTCCGCATCTATTAATTACACGTGGCAAGCTTTATCACAGTAAATCCCACTTACCTTACCCCTGCACCATCCCTACAATGACTGGGAAAATGTTTTGTCATGTTCTTTAGTCTTTACCACTGCTCTCGGATTCAAGAAAATCATGATAACTATGATACTAAGCAAGTTTTATTAAAAAAAAAAAAATCAACAACAATAGAGTTTCATTATTCATAGTCCAGGAATATTATTACAAGTTTCTTTTTGTTCTACTTTACAAATTAGGGAGAATAATATAAGGGTTTTAAAAGATGATCAATTAATTCAATTTATATTTCAAGTATTAAATTTTAAAAATTTATAAATTTAGTTTTTAATTTTACAACTTCACAGTAATAAATTTATAACTTGTATTTTAAATTAATAGAAAAAATAAATTTGTTTAACATTTAAAAAATAATGTATAAATTTATCATAATAAAGTGCAAGCTAAACTTGTAAATTTATGACATTTGACATTTAAGACTTAAGTTGAATGATTACTCTAGTTGGGATCTCTATGTCATTCTTCCTATAAATTATCTGATCAAACGCTGAATGATGATGAAGCTGTGTACTTAAAATTTTTAATAGAACAGGGTTGAGTCATTACATTGATTGCTAGCCATATGATACAGAAACTGCAGCCGAGCGATGCAAAGAGCTTGACAATCAGCACACTGTTTAGCAACAATTGTTGCAAACTGAATCTTACGCACTGAAAACTTTGCTGATTGCTGATTATTCCAACAAGGGAGAGCATTTACATTTAGTCAACAGCTTTTCTTGGAGATCGAAGGAACAAAGGAGCATCAGAAGACATAGAGCTGCACGTTGATTTTTCTTGATGTAGCCGCAGTAAAATCTTCAAATCCATAGATCCTCATTTCTTCTTCATAACATGGAAAAAAAAAAAAATTGAATTCCATTGTCAAACTATCAAACATGTCGGAAGAAGACCAACAAAAACACACATGAACTACAATCTAAGTATCTAACATTATCAGGGCATCATAGTTTTAAATGATGAGTAAAAGTGTCTAACTTATACCTGTCTTTATTAACACAATTTTATTTCAATCATATTAAGATGGGTTTTGTCTCAACTCAAAAATAATTAAGATAGAACTTTACATGATGGGACAGGACACAAGATTTATCTCCTGTCTCATCCTGAATATTATATATATTATTTTTATTTTAAAAAGATATATTAAATATATTAATTACAATATAATTTATACTTTTATTAATTATATTAATTTTAATTTGAATACATGCAATTCTTATTTAAAACTAAAATTTTTTTATATTGATAATTTTAACAATACAAAGTGAGCAGTACATGGTAACATTTTTTTTATAATATATTAATTATATTAATATAATTTATTTATATATCTATATATTTAATAACCTTTTTTTATATCATATTTCTTACTTTATTTTTGGAGAGCAACTAGTTTAGCATATCTTAACTAAAAAAAAGAATAATGACTTAATGATATGTTTTTATTGCTCTTATAGCTTAGAGATTAATTGTAATTATTATTATAATGTGTTATACACTTATAGTTTAATTAATGTAATTCAATAATTGACTTTAAATTATTGTAATTTATGTATTTATATTATTTTAGCTTTAAACTTTATAAATTATTTTTTTAATAAATCTTAATAAATGTTATTATTTAGGCCTTTCTTCCTCATTATTCAATTTATTGGTATGAAAGGATATCTTGATTCTGATTTCTAGCGAGATGGGACACGGGATAAAAATTCAGTCTCGATCTTTTTTTGAGAAGGGATACTAGACAAAGGTGTCCCGACCCGGTTCGGTCCGGTTCCGTCTCGTGAACATTCTTAATAATGAGGAAGCCAACCACAATACTATGACTCGGAGGGTACTCAGCTGCAATCTGTGAATGCATGTTCCTCTTGTATCTTCAAATAGAAGACTGGATGGTTAAATGAACAGAGTTCAGCAGTTCTTCCAAGTTCACTGGCCTCTTTTACCTAGACTCGGTGTTAAGCAGACAAGCTCTTGATAAATGGATTCCATGCTCTACAGTAGTTTCCCTAGCGTAGATCCAAAAGGGAGGAACATGTAAAAGGCTAGAAGCACAAATGACAGGAAAACCAACAGCAGAATGCCAACCACATGGATAATAGTGGAGAATCACCACAAATGAGAAAGTTAACACTAATGTTTGTGGAGAAACACCACGTTTCAATAAAAATAGTTATGGCACAGTAATTATGATTATGAATAGATATATAAACGTGTCGACACACTTCTTGTTAAGACCGAGTCTGATATGCTTGTACCATTGTTCAGTCTTAATATAGTAGACCTGCAAGGCAAATTTGAGCTGGATTAGATAAGCAATGGGAATATCCATGGGTCAAAGTCTAGCCCATAAGAAGGAAGAATTCTTCTAGTAGTGACGGAACAAAGGCAAGAACCATGAACTGTGTCTTTATCAGAAACCCAGTTAAGAAATTTCCAAGTTCATAGGAGACTGGAGGTTGGAGCATGAGTTAGGTAATACAGGCATATTTTCTTCGGCACACAATATCATTTTTCACAAAAATAAATGATAATTAATTAGAATGACTAGTAGCATTTAGATTACCTCATGTAAGGGCAGTAGAGCCGCGCAAATGCCAAGCAGTGCATGAAATAGAAGAAAATTCTCAAACCTTGGGAAAGTGAGTGCTCTATATTTTCTTAGTTTTCAGAATTCCTCTTTTTGAATTTCAAACTAATAGGGGAGAAGCGTGGAGTACCAATCAATCCCCAAAGATCACAGCAAACAAAAACATGCTTCAGTAAAAGACCGTGCGCCTATTTAAAGGAAAAGGCGGAAAATCAACCATACAGTATATTATAAAGCAAACTTTGCTCTATAATCTGAACTTTGAATTTACGAAATACTCAACCAATTATATTTGAAAACATAGGATGGCTCTTGATTTATTCAGCGGAAAACCTCTCTGTTATTGGTCAGAATTAAAACAAATGCACATTGAAAACTTTGTTGATTACTGATTATTTCAACAAGAGAGCATTTACATTTTTAGCCAACAACTTCTCATGAAGTTCAATAGTCATACAGTGCAGCACACTGGATTCTTTACGGAGACACAATTAAATCTTCAAATCCTCTAAAATTTCCAAGACTGATAAATCCGCATTTCTTCCTCAATTTCTACAACAACAATATAAATTGATTTACATTATCATTTTGGAACTCTAAGGAGCCAGTTACAGTTATCACAGAAGACCAATAAAATCACACATGAACCACAAGCAACCAGCATTCAGAGCTTCAAATGCCGAGGAACCCGGCCACATCTACTCTGTGATCTTAGTATCTCTTTTGCAAAATCTTGACTGCCTGTTAACACAAGCCCATTTAATACTCTATTAAAAGTAAATTTTCGTGGCAGGAAGCCTCTACCAATCATTTCCGTCAACAACTTCCCAGCTACCACTAAATCACCTGACTTCTTCCTCACAAACAAGTCACTGATCAGAATGTTATACGTGTCTAGATTGGGCAAGCATGACCTGTTCCTCATCTTCTCTAACATGTCTAAACCCTTCTCGATCTCCCCAGCATCACAGAAGTATCGTATCATGACATTATATGTCTGAACATTCGGCTGACAATCATCTTCCTCCATTCTCACCATAAACTCCATGGCTCTCTGCATGTCACCTGTATGACACAACCCTCTAATGATTACATTGTAAGTAACTGAATTAGGCACGTAACCCTTTCTCACCATCTCTTCGAAGACCAATATAGCATTTTCTACACTATCCTTCTTGCATAAAACTTGAATCAAAGCATTGTATGTTGCTACTGAAGGAAGAACACCCTCCCTAATCATCTCATCAAAAACCTTTCTAGCCTTTTGAATTTCACCCACAACACCAAACCCATGAACCATGGTAGTATAGGTCACAACATCAATATCGCATTTCCTCTTCTTCATTTCCAAAAAGAAATCCCAAGCTTCCGTCAGCTGACCAGTCCTGAAATACCCTTTAAGCAATATATTATACGTAGTTAAAGTTGGAGTCAATCCCCTTTCTACCATCTCCTTCATCACCTCCAAAGCCTTGGGCGTTCGCTTAATCAAGCACCAGCCATTAGCAATTATGTTATAACTGATACTATCAGCCCTAAATCTACCTCTGAAAACTTTGAACAAATTATAAGCCATCTCTGCTCGTCTGGACTTGCACAACACATCAAGGATCGTATTAAAAGAACTCAAATCCTGACGACAACCATGTTTGTGCATTGACAAAAAAATCTTTACAGCTCTATCAGCTTTACCAGCAGCGACATACCTCTCAGTAATGATCGCGAAAGTTCGAGGGCTTGGTCCGACACGGCGAGCTCGCATACGAGCAACCAGAGTCCAAACAGACTTGTAGTCACGCATACGAGCGGCAATGTCAATGGCGTAATCAAAGGATGACGAGGCATGAGTATAGGTCGGGTGGTGTTCAAGGCACTTGAAAAATAGCAGCGCTTTGGGTCCATGGTTCCATAGGCGTTTGAGGACCTTATCCACCAGGTCTGGATTCCATTGGAAAGTTGTTCTTTGTAGGGTTTCAGACAGAGATTGCGTATCTGATTCGAGAATGAGTTTGGCAAGTGCAAAGTCCTCCGCCACCAGCTGCGGCGTGGACGGTGATGGCTGAATTATGGTGCCGAGAGAGTGATAAGGGGGTAAAAATCGTTGCTTTAGCGTGTGAAGAAGATAGAATGGGCTCCGAAGCTTCAGCATCACTTCTACATCCTCGCCTGCTGCTCCTACAAAAGATGTTCATCTAATCTAGATGATGCAACGCCAAAAACGAGTATCTTAAAAAAAACAAAAAAAACCTCAAAAAATGGGTATCTTAGTCTTATGGGCATGTTTGCTTGGCCTTGAACTCGCTTGGGACACGGGACACAGGGCAAAGGAGGATCGTGGTAGAATCTGACTCTACGGAGGTCACTGAACTTTTATAATCTGAACTTAATTCCTCTTATGCTGTTCAAGCACTCATCTCAGAAGAGAAGACGGTGATGCACCGAGAATGGGTGGTCCAGCTAAACCATGTGCGAATGAAGCTGCAGACTGGCTAAAAGGATTTTCAGAATTACCAGGCTATCATGCGGTTTTCCAAGCCCCAAATGAACTTGTGCAATCCTTGATTGGGATTGTAATGGCATATCTAATGGCTTCTGCTTTCGAGTATTTTTTTTTAATAAAAAAATCCAAATTTTAATTGGCCAGCTTACATTAATTGAATTTTTAAACTTGTAAAGTTATATTATTTTCTTCATGAAATTACGAAATTTTACACAATCTTTTTTATAATCAAGTATTTTAGCCAAAGTTTAAATTCTCTGCACAAGATTTATTCACAAGACTCATCAAATGCCTTGTGAAAATTAATTTGCTGAGAAACAGTTGATTGTTTAATTAATTTCAATTCAATTATGAAAATCAAGGAACTAATTGAAATTGTTTATCTAGCAAACATGCAGTTATACACTTCTCAACCATGCTGAACAAAATGTATTCAAAGACATTCGAGAAAGCTGATGACGTTTTTTTGATGTGTTTTTGAACACATGCTCTGCATAATTCTGCAAACCCTAAATCTATATAACTGACGCATACATAAATATATCATAAACTTTCACTTGGATGCAAAAATGGCTTCCAAATCTTTGTATAATCCACTTGGTTTTGACTTGAAATCAGAAGATGAGTTCATAGAAGAGCTCCCACTCCTTTTAGTTCCCCATATTCCACTCCATCTGGTAGTACTAGTAGAAGGATCATTTGGACTTCCTTCTTTTCCAAAGCTAGCCTTTGCAAGCTCTCTCAGTTGTTTCAGCCATGGTTTATCAGTTGAACCTGAGCTTCTACCACCTAAGTTTCTGAATCTTTCATCTGAGAAAGTAATATCCCTTGTTTCTTCGTTCGCACCATGATTTTTAGGTAACCTACTTTCCAAGCTCTTGATGCATCTCTGAGGAATGAAATAAAGGAGAAACCCAATGGAAGCTATTTTTAGACCTCCCAAGAGTGACTTCTCCTCAGGGTCCAGCAGCCTTGTCTGTCTGTATAAAGCATACCATTCATTCATAATATGCGCCAAAAACCCTACCAGGAACAGAATAAGCATGAAGATTCCAAATTTAGTATCAGTTCTGAGAGAAAAATCCTTGTTCAAGAGTGCTAAGATGGTAGCAAATAGAGCAACTTCACAGGAGAGTGAGATAATCTCAACTAATTGAACTTTTTTCTTTATGAATGGCTTCTTCAGCACAACGAAGAAGAGTTGAAATGCAGAAATAGAGAGTATGGTAATTGTTGGGGTTTTGGAAGACTCATTCTCCTTATAAACACCTGCCAAAATCCCAAATGAAACTCGTCTTATAGATTCAAGAAGTACATAGTATATTCTGAGAACCCCAAAAAGCTTTTGAATGAAAGGTGCTTCTGCATCTTCTGTTTCATCCTCAGAGGCTATGATGCGGTCACCTTGACTCTGAGGATGCCCACCAGCAATCTGTGAAAGCATGTACTTGGGAGGGCCTCTTAGATCTTCAAACAGAGGGCCAAATATGGTTAAACGAACAGAGTTCGGTAGCTCTTTCCAAGTCCATTGGCCTCTTTTACCTGGACCCAGTGTTACCCGAACAAGCTCTTGATACCAGTGAAATTTCTGGCCTTCTTGATGGACTTCCTTGTACTGGAGTAGTTTACCAAGCGTGATTCCAACGGAGAGGAACAAGAACAAGGATAGAAGCACAAATGACACGAAACCTAACAGCAGAACACCAACCACCATTCCTGATGAACTTCCTACTAAAGCCAAACAAATAAGAAAAGTTGAAACTAATATTAGTGTGGATATTCTATGGTTCAATATAGACAGGTAGACCATGCTAATTATAATAGATATTTACATAGGTAGACCAAAGTGATAATAATAGATGTTATTATCTGAAGCTAGCTCAAGTGAAGTATATTTCTTTGGCATAGAATATTATATTCTCATGTCAAATAATTAGAAAATGACGAATGTCATTTACATTACCTCTTATAAGGGCGGTAGAGGCCTTACAAATGCCAGGCAGTGAAAGAAATAGAAGAAATATCTCAAATCTTGGAAAAGTGAGTGCCCCATATTCCTTCGGTTTTTCAGAATTTCTCTTCCTGAATTTCAAAATAAGCAGGAGAAAAGCATGTAGAATCACCAAACCACCAAAGATCACAACCAGCCAAAACATGCTTCTGGAGAAGTCCATCCACCTATTTTGGAAGCGCCGGGGGGGGGGGGGGGAGCAGTCAGATCATCCAGACAGTATGTTATAAAGCAAACCTTTCTCTAGCATTTGAACTTTGAATTTATGAACCACTATTTAAAAACATCTAAACATTTTGCAATTTGAAAACATCATATGCCTCTTGATTTCTTTACTGGAACACCCCTCTATTATTGGTCATAAGTGAAACAAAAGCAATGCATCGAATATCTATGTATTGATAACCAATTGGCTCAATTTTACAGTATCAAACAAGTAAAATGATAGTAAATGCATGATATATATTCAAAATTATACTGCATGAGTCATGACCTTCGTGCAATGTATGAAATATTGAAATTCAAGTAACTCACCCACTGGAATGTTGTGAATCCGAAATAAACTCAGCTTTTGGTTGCACATTCGGGTTCTGCAGATATGTGATGTTATCAATTAGACTGTCCATTTCTTCATGAATACAAATGGAAATAAAATGTAAGCTACAATAATCTGACCTCAAAATATAGCTGATACTCTGAAGAAGTGAGAGGCGATCCATATACTGGAGCAGAATTAATCAGCTTATCTATTAACTTCATGTTTGGTATCTTTGCTGGAACTTTGGATACAAAGGGATTAGAACTCCCAAAAGGACTAGAACCTACCAAGAGCAGGTGAATATTTCTTGTTTCCCATGGCACCAACAAATAGGGTATAGTCCATTGCAAATTCTTGGCAAATTCATAAAATTCAACAGGCAACTTAACTGATAACCATTTAGATAGTGCAAAAATCTGAATGTAGCAAATAATTCTCTGCATGTTTGACAAAAAATGGCTCCATCAGTGTTGTATCCTCTCCATAGACATAAATTTTTTCAGGCTTAGGACATCATAAATATATGATTAAAAAGACATTAAAAAATTTGTTTAAAAAAAAAAAAAAAAGATCCCAATGGGTTAACCATTTTAGAACTAAAAGAAATTAAGATCAAGTAAATTCAATATACCCATCGCCCTGCCCTTAGATACTCAATTCAAAAGAGACTTTCTCAAGTAACAACTTCATTTTGTCATGAACATTGAAATTTAACGCAGCACTTATCAGCCAAATAGTGTTGTTGTAGATTCTAGTATCATTCCTCCATAAAGACCAATACATAAACATGTGATTGAAGACTACTTGATGGATTAGTGGTAAATGGTGAACAAGATATCGTTCGAGTAAGTTAAATATCTCACAAAAAGACTCCTTGCTGGATCAACGGTCAAGAAAGAAGACGATCTTGAAAATGCACCATAATATTGAAGGCTAGCAGTGGAGACAGTAAGCAGCCCAGCAGCAAGAGATGTCAACCCAAAAGATGCAGTTGCGAAAGCAGAAATCACTTTAGAAATCAGAGAATGGAGTCTGCATGATTCAAAATATTTATATTTGACTGTTATTGATATTAAATAACAAAATCTTCATCAAGAAAATACAGAGGATTAATCATGGTAATCAGGTAGGAGAAAAGTAACTACAATGTCAAGAAGAAGAAGAAGAAGAAGAAGAATCTTACAGTGCCTCACTTGTAGAACATTGGATGCTAGATTTTTGTTTCCAGCAATGTCATGAGTTACATTCTCAGGAACATTGATAGATACTACGCTGTCATCCGCTTGCAGCTCAATGATGTATATGCTCCTACTTATTTCATGAAAGCTGAGCAAAGATATTTGTATGAGAAAGGACAAGTTATAAAGTCACATTGGCCTTTTCATAATTTAATATTAGTTGACAATTTGTATAAGAGTGCAATAATGTGCAGTTAGAAAATACTTGCCTTCTCAAATTCCCCCCTGTCAGTGATATGCAAGAGGAATTGAAGCCAAAAACAGGTTTTACAAACTTAATTAATATCTGGACGTTGTGTTCTTGTGTCCTCATCCTATATGTACTCAAGTTTACAGCAGGTCTAGTAGAATCTGAATTCCATCCATGACCATAGCAAGGGAGAGCAATGGAATTTCAACATTATAAGGTCCATCACATTGTATGGTTGTCCCAGAGGTGGAAGAAAAAGGAAAAACAAAGTTTAGAAATTAAAAAGAAAAGGTTTATAAATGAAGTACTTTTACATAAAATTTAATCGTGGCGTTAGAGGAGGATGTACCATAAAGGAAAGTAACTGGTGCAACTGGAGCAACTGAAATTCCCTGCCTGCTAATTATCGATGTTGAATTGAAGCTCACTGAGATTATTGTGTTCGAGGATACATTAGCAATCTGAGATGGGGATGGGCGGCCAGGAAGAAAACAGGTGTAAGGGGAATATGTACAAAGAAGCATTGAGTGTGTAACTGTAGCATATCAGTTCCATGAATAAACTAACCAAGAATCCAAATCTCCGATTTGCATGAGTTTTTCCGCTAGTTGGGAGAAGTGAACCCTGATTTATGCTGAGATGTTTTACAATTTCTGTAGAAGAATTTAGAACTGGTGCTGAGAAGTACACAAACACCTTCAGCTTATTATAGTCATTAGTTGCCAGCACTGTTCTAGTTTCACTGTTAAGTTGAAGTAGCCTTTCAGGCACACGAGTCCTCAAGTTAACGTAGTCCCATCTTCTATCTGTAGAAAATGTCCACCAGAGAAGGAAAGCAATTTCTAAATATTAGTCATCCAGAAAAGTAAGCATATCTGATAAGAAAACATTGCAAATTTACTCAGCTAGTGTTGTTCTAAATTCAAATCCTGATACTGTAATGAAATCATTTTAGATTAACAAGCAAGCGCATGCATTAAACCTGCAAGTACCCCATACAAGAATGCACATTGACATCCATTAATAACCACCGAAAGGATATATCAAGAAGTACAAAAATTATATGCCAATAAGACAGTAGAAAACGTTAATACTCACCAAAGTGCACATAAACACTTGAATTTGTAGTTCTTGTAAAGCTGTTACCAGCCATGTCAGAGCAGAAATTCCTATCCATTACAAGGATTGCACGTCCATATTGAACAGTGGATGACAAACTTATGAGAAGAGAATACTTCAGGTTGGGCTGCAAAACGGTAAAGGAAGATGGTATAACCTGGCCTGCACCATAGACCAGAAGCTGCAGAGAGATTTAACAGCAATCTGTTAAAAATTGATCCAGTATCATGTTACTCAATGCTACTTATACAAAAACCCTCATCACATTATCTTATAGTTTATACACTTCAATCCTTTGATTTCTTTTCGTGGCCCAAAAATATAGATTAAATATACAATTTAGCCAGTAGCTATAGAATGGCACGGCTTTTAGGTTGTATACACAGCCAAGGAAAGGTGTATAAATAGGGAAGCATGGCATTCTCCACATGGAGGATACACGTAGGGAGAGGGCACAGTCAACATGATTAAAGTGAATCATACCATGGACATATAACAGAATCAAAAACATAAACAGAAAATACCTACTTACATTGCAAGCATTTACAGATTTACACCCGAAACCTCCTTCACCTATACAAGGTTCACTGAAAGTTATATCAACTGAAACATTTAAAGCGCTTGTGAAAGATGTTGAGGCAGTAACATATGCTGTTGGGGGAACTGTATCTGGAAAAGAGAAAGAGAATGATTTTAGATTGGCATCGAAAGAATGAAAAAGCTGAATGAGTCTCAATTCACCCAAAGAGATAGTTGAAGTAACAGTCTCGTTTTCCTCATTTTCATGACATTATAATTTGATGTTCTTCATAAAGAGGATAAACCAAAAATTAGTTATGGCATCTGAAATAAGGGAAATTAACCGTTCCCTAGTTGGTACACGATTACATAGACAAAAGACTATGCCCTTTCCTTACAGAAGATATGGCAGGCTTCATTAATGACACATCAGCAAGAAATTAATAGAAGATGATGCTCATAGTTGAGAACTAATGAATAGCTAGCTGAAAGTAAAAAGGATAGTTTCTTAACCGACAGTCCAATTATAGCTAGCACAGCCAAGTACTTGAGGACCATTGCCGCACACCTCAAAACTATGATTTCCATCTATCAAGCTTGAGTAGATAACTCTTCTTGCTTTACAAACTGATGCGATTCCATCATCAAGCTGCATACACAACATACTTTGAATATCCAGAAAATTTTTCTGAACCCAAAATCTTGGAACAGAAACACCAAGTAGAAGCGTATGTGAAAAGTGAAGGTTGTACGTTCATGTCTTCGCGCGCGCGCGAATAAGTCTTTTGAATTTTCATAAAGGCCAATAATTATAAAAGAACTTGAATAGAAATTTGTTCATGTCAAACAAAAGCACAAACCTTGCAAGTGAGGGAACAGTTTGTGCAAGGGCTGCCACTACCGGAATCCAGAGCTTCAAAAGCAAATGTAGCTGAGTTTAAGCGCGAGAATGCGTGGGGAGTCCTTAAAAATATCACAGAGACCTCTGAAGTACCACATTTTGACGGGGAACTCAGTAGTAAAAATACCCAACAGAGCATACTGACTCGCATGATTCTAAGCATGTCCATCTTAAAGTATGTTCAAATTGAAGTTTCAAACATGAAGCCGTTAGAACTTACGAGCAAGAGAGAAACAAATTTTCTAGATATTGTGTAAATAGTGTTTGAACTTTAGGAGAACGGAGAAGGCATGGAGCTATGCAGCACTGGGGAGTGTATGAGAGAGAGAAAGAGAGAAATCTGCAGAATTAATGGAGTAATGGAAGTGCCTTAAAAAATGGTTGGAGTGAGTTTGCTGCTCATGGGAAGATGATGGTTCCGTTAAGGATAAGTGGCATGAAAGTGAGTGTGGAAAAATTGTCTTTTTCAAGGCCTTGGCGCTAGAGAAAGAGAGACGTTTGCGCATAAGTTAAGAGAGAACTCACGGGTAAATTTGCTATTGATTGTGGAGATAAGAAAAAGTACAGAAATAACTTTTACTGTTTCTGTCGCCAATAATTTGAACTTTACGCTAGGTTTTTTTTTTTTTTGGGGGGGGGAATATTACAAAATGCATAACAATAAAAATTATAAAATAAATGAAAATCTACTTGAATCTCATCAGTTTCCTTTCAGTTTTTATCTATTATTTTTCTCCTTAATTTGGTGATGGAAAATAACAAAATGGAAGACAAAAACGGAGAGAGGACACTGGAGAAATTTCATTATCACTGAAATGCAGACAATTAACAGTGCGAGAAGATCAACCTCAAAAACGTTATCTTCCATCCCAACGGCCATCTTATTCTTATACATTAGTCTCATCTCACTCAATGGCTTCAATTTGAATTTTTTTTTTTTCACCTGGGGTTTTGTAATCAATGCATAAGAAGTGTACGAGGAATTGTGGTACAACCGAAGGCTTAAGTTCTATGTGTGAAGTGGAATAGTGGCTACTGGATTGTATAAGGGGGACGAGAGATGGGTGGCACCTGTCAGGCATAGACATTGGCCACATGAATTTATCGCTGTCTGGACAATACTTACAAAGGAAACATGCAATGGCATGAGAGGATAAGATAACAAAACAAGGAAGCGGAGGAATGGTTTGGCAGGACCACCTCAAGACTTTGGGCTAATTCAGAAATCATTCTTCACCTTTCATTTCATATCAATAAGAAAGCAATCATTGAGCTACTTATGGTACTATGATTTTATGCATTTTAAGTTACAGGAAAATTTAGATCGACTTCACGTTCTTATGTGGCACTAGATAAGGGGTGGCTGTTTTTTTTTTTTTTTTTGGGTTTGAGAACGGAGTTGAATTTTCTAAGGTCCGATTGGCCATTGTGCCCGGCCCATTTAAATACCTCCCTCATTGGGTGCTATTGTCATGCTGGCCCAAAACACCAGCCCCCTTGTCCGATTACATAATTTATAATCCCTCAATGTCACATTTATCATATGTCTAATTAAAATATTTTAAATAATATAAATAAAATTCTGTATGACATTTTTTAAATTATTTTTATTTTTATAATATAATATACATTTTATTTTTTATTTTTTATCCCTACTATCATTAATATCAAAACTAATTTATATTTAATACAATTTAAATATTATATTTTTATTAAACATACCATAAATAATGTAGTACACACGATCTATTTAAAAATTTTTCTACAAGATCCCGTTTAAAGCTGTGCAAACTAGAAGAAGATTAGGTTGGATTAACAGTTAGTAAATATCTGCACCTTAAAAGTGGTTCATTAAAAAAAATCATGATATTCAAGTTCTTCATAAGTTAATGAGTCTTTGCATATTTATTTGTCACTATAAAAATATGATAAAAAATAAGGGTATTTATGAGTACCTCCATCTTAGTCACTTGTCCTAATCATGTTGAAACAGGTTTGTTTCAGTTCAAGAAAAGGGACGAGACTTTGTTGAACAAAACAAAAATATGTTTGCGATGGGATATAGGATCATTATCACGACGATGTTATATTTTTATTTTATTAATATTTGATACTTTATTTAACTTAACTTTTACTTTTTTAATTTTTATCATAAGATGCTTTTAACTATTTCATGTATTTTAAAAAAAGTTAACTTTTTTTTAATATCATAAAAAGTGAGAGATAATTTTATTTTTACCCTTAGTTCTAAATAATAATACAATTATATTAAATATCTTCACACTAATAAAAAAAATATAATTAAAAAAATTATTTAATTATTGTAAAATGTTTTATATTTAAAAAAAATTACTTTTAAAAAGTGTCGTATACATAGCACTGGATGGAGTATATAACAAGTTATTCAACATATTCAACATAATCCAATTTATGTTCCCAGCTCCAACTCTCCACCGCAGGGGATACTTAATTTCTGAAAAAAAAAAAAGACTTGAAAAATCTAATCAAAGCATAAGATGAAAACATTATTTGAAAATATTGGCGATAACAGAAAGATTCGTATACTAAACATTATATATTTAATATATTTTTATTCATTTATCAAGACAAAAAATTTTTAATATGATAATAATATTAATAAAAAGAGTTTGTAATAGAATAAATATCATATAAAAAATTCAATTAAATTAAGAAATTTTTTATATATGATTTATTTTATAATAATTTCTTATTATTGATATTATTAAAATGTTAAAATTTACAAAATAAAATAATAATAATAACATATATTAAGACGCTGAAGATGTGTAATCTTTCCCCCTATTTGAATAAAAGGAACGTTTGAATATCTTGCCATTGCAATCTTTCCTCCAATTAGAAGGGAGGGAAGTCATCAAATAAAGGAACATATCATAACGACCGCCGGTTCTTGTGGCGGGAAAAGAAATGAACCGCCGGTTCTCGGAGATTCAAGTGGGCGAAGAGGAAGAATAATAATAGACTGTGTAAATGCCCTGTTTTCACAGTCCAAGTTTCAAATTCATTATCGCTTTTACCTGTCAGAATTGTCTTGCCACGATATACCATATGCATTGCAGTCATGTTTCAGTCCTCTTCTTCTCTGCTACAGTCGAACTTCTATCAGATATTAGGCGATCGCCCCCCTGCCGACCAATTTCGCGAGGGTCTGTATCTTTCCTAAAAATTATTTTCCTCCTCTTCAAATTTTGAGATTCTTGAAAAATAGCGCGCGTCTTTTTTTTTTTTCTTCTTCTTCTTTCCCTCGCATGCACTAGTCTTTTTGTTCCGTTAATTGTTGGGGGCTTTCTTTTGGATGATATCATAACAGCAATTCAGTTCGAGAAGCATGGTGATTATCTTGCCATTGGAGATCAAGGAGGACGTGTTGTAATATTTGAAAAAGGTGGTGGAAAGATTGTGAGTATCATCTTCCTTTTACAATCTCAAACTACCACGTCTTCTTTCCGTTGTTTCGATAGCATCTGAATTTGAGTCACTTATTCTTTCCGTTTTCGATTTCTTATGCTTTAAATCATGATCAGAAACTGCAATATACTCGAAAATTTTTGGAGGACCTGGATTCCGCTCCTGCACGACGTCCTAAATCTCGGTACCTGTCAGAATTCCAGAGTCACGAGCCTGAAGTACGTTCATCTTTTCGTTCTACGCTCTGGGGGTAGTGGGGGATTTCTTGGTTTTCTCTTTGTCTAGCTGACTTCCATGTTTTCTCTGTTATTCTTGTGTAGGTTGATTGCTTCCGTAATGTGGAAGTCACAGAGAGGATTAAGAAAGTGAACTGGTGTATTGCGCAGAATGGATTGCTTCTCATTCTCTCAGCAAACAATAAAACAATTAAATTATGGATGGTACGGGTTGTTAGATTGATTTTTGAAGATTCATTTTCCCCTTAACACAAGGCTTTCTGACTTATGTAACGGATAACTCATCAAACCTGCACCGATTAACAAAGAACTTTTCGGCTTTTGCAAGAAAAGGACAAACGAAGCCGGCGCCAAGAAATCTAAATGATCTCTTCTATTAGTTACTGCCATATGATTTTCACCATAGACACAGATTGTCTCTGTAAGTTAATTCTGCATCATAAAATTGTTCTAACTGTTTTTTTTTTTCCTCCTTTATTTTCCCCTTTGTTTCTTTGGGTGTAGATTAAGGAACGTAAAGCAGAAAAAATTGAAGAAGTGGCTCCTCATCGATTTTTAACCTCGGAAAACGTTCTATTATCTCATAAGAGATTCATGAATGGGCAAGAAACCCAGTCTTCTTCTAATGGATATCATTTGGAGTGGATAGAGAACCTATATCGGGAGGATCCCCCATCTCAAGACATTGATGATGATGATTACAATTCATTGGAATAAAGCAGTTTCTCGGTTGTCATTTTGTTTTCCGCCAGAAAACAAAATTTCTTGGCATACAAGATAGCTCACCAGTTTGTTTTGAAATTAGATTGAAGGTACGGGCAACACTTTTCATGCAAAATGCCAAAAGGTTTATGCTCAAGATCTCAGTTTTAATATTAATTCCATTTCACATAATAGGTACAGTTCGCTCGTCCTTTATGTACTTCGTAATATATTCTTTCCTGTTCAAGGAGAACATGGAACTATGCTGTCCTTTCTATACCATTATTATTTTATTAATTATTTAAAAACGAGATAACCTATTTTCTGAATGAAAGTGTTTCCTGCATTTATTGAGAGAGAGAGAGAGAGAGAGATAACCTGGCTTCTTGATCCCTGTGCAGTGACGCGGAGACATTTATCTCAGCAGATGAATTTAGAATCAATTTATGGAAGCTTGAGGTCAGTGATCGGAATTTCAATATCATCGACATGACGCCGTCAAACGTGGAGGATGATGCTTTTGGTAACTTTGTCATCCTATAGGTTTCTTGCATATTAATGTAATTCATGTTTACTCGTATTGATATTACGGCAATCCAATGTATTCTAGTTTCATCTCAATATTCCAATTGAGTATATTCAAATATCTGGGGGCTTTAAGTTGCTACTTTTTTCATGTCTTGCATTCCCTAAAACTTCCCATAGTGTTTCCAATTAGTTATAAACTGACAGTCTACCCTTAGGGAGTTTCACTTTCTGGTGATAAAAGGATTGTGTCTTTTCTTCTGCAAACAAGCTATTTTGAGGAACCCATCTGCATGGTATATGAATAAAGCCGTACTAGCTTAATCAATTGCATTTGTCCTACATGTCAGCTGTATGGCCAAAAGTGCATGCGTTGTTAATTCCTGAAGGTGAATTATTTTTGCCTCTCCTTTCCCCATTAACTAACCGATTTGTTAAAATTTCATTCACGCAGAGATAATAACATCAGCTGAATTCCATCCAGTACACTGCAACCTCCTAGCAGATGGCAGCTCCAAAGGTGTGATTCGTAAATCTGACTTGTGACAAGCAGCAAGATGTGACCGTAGTGTTAGACTGTAAGTTGCAGCTCACTTTCCTCGGAGTATAGGATTGGTTTTTTTTTTCTTTTGATCAGTCATGCCTTTATTGTGATATAGTCCTCATTCAGCTTGATTATACGGATTTGTTGATCGAACACTCTTCCCCATGAAATCCCCTTTTGAGGAAATGGCTGCATGCATTTCCAATGTAAAATTTATGCGTGATGGCACTGGTGGGCAGCAGCTTACAAGTCGTGATTACATGAATGTGAAGGTCTCTCTCTACTACTACTACAGTGCCTAAAATTTTCATCCTACAATCGTATTCTAGTAACTTGAATCATAAGTATCCTCTTTGACAAATGCCATGTTTTCATATGATATTTTATGGCTCTCGGATATAATTTATCAGTTAAAAGTTGACTTTTGAAGTTTGGAATGCTAAATTAAAACTTGTAATTGCTTTAAGCCCCAAAAAGATTCAAATTGTAATGCACAACTCTAGGAACTGAACATGCATAAGTTTGCATTAGCATTACTATTGTGCCTTCCTTTTACTGTATTTGGTACTTAACAATGTGCCTTCGTTTCTTGTTCTAGCTTTGGGACATGCGCATGGATTCTCGTCCACTTGCAGCATTTAGAATTCATGAGCACCCGCGCCCTAGAGTAAGAGGCTTTTTCCGATGACTATTATAAGCATTTGCGCACTCATTGTACGTTGTAACTTGCATATATACGTGAGTTTTCCTACTGTTGATATCTCCTCTTGTTTTGTGAAGCTAGCCGAGTTATACTGTAAGGACCACATATTCGATCAATTTGACTGCTGCTTTCGTAGAGATGGACTTCGTTTTGCAACTGGTTCTTACGGGTCTGCCTTTCTGAAATAGTGCAAATTTATCTCCAAGGTTATTGTTAATAACTTGTTTGTCTGTCCTGATCTCTGTATCTGCTAAGTTCTCAGTAATCTCTTGAAAATATACTCCATCGAGAGTAGAAGTGTGGAAGACATCAAACTGGATATAATTGGAAATATTGACAGGTAAATCTCTCGTATACAAGTTTGACCCTCCAATTTTTTGTTGGTGTTGCGGTTGTTGTTTGAGATTAATACTACATGGAATTTGCAGAGTACGTATGGTAAATAATGCTAATATATGTGTGTGAGAATAATTACAGGAATTAGAGGGATATGTCCCATAAAAATAGAGATTTGATAGGATTGGATACGTCCCATAAAAATAGAGATTTGATAGGATTGGGTCATTAGGAGTAATATTTGATATTATTTCCTTTTTTTGTTTTTTTTTTCCTTTTATAGAAGGTTATGGTACGTGTATATATTCTGACCATATTACTGAATAAGATTCATTCGGTTCCTTCCTCTGGCTTGTCTTCGACCACATGGTATCAGAGCAGGCAGACGCTGAACACCATCACTCAGATGAAGACGACAGAGCCAACCGAGAGTCAAACTCGCGCATTCGACCCTCTGCGTTCATGGGTTCCGGCGCTGAGGCTGACTTGAAAATCACTCCAAATAGCGGAACTCCTCTCGGGTTGAGTTCTGCCGAGGGGGCGTCCCTTGTCCTGATTTCCGAAAAGTTCAATGGAACCAATTATCGTGAGTGGGCCCAGAGTGTTCGACTGGCTGTTGGAGGCCGCGGGAAGCTGGGTCTTATCTCAGGTACATCCAAACCACCAGACGCGTCAGAATCGGCTGCCTTGGTGAAGTGGGAGACCGACAATTCCCTGGTGGCTTCTTGGTTGGTTAACTCTATGACCCCTCAAATCAGACAGTCCTTTATGTTTCTCTCGACAGCACGGGATATCTGGGACGCAGTCAAGGAGTCTTACTCGGATGGGGAAGATGGTGCTCGAATCTATGATCTCAAAACTCGAAGTTGGCAGATCAAACAAGGTGAGCGTGATCTTACGAAATTCTGGTTGGAGTTAGTTTCAGTGTGGCAAGAGATTGATCTCAACATAGAAACCGAGTGGTCTTGTCCGAGTGATGCAGCACGGTATAAGAGGCTTATTGAAGATGAGCGAGTATTCCAATTTTTGGCTGGTCTTCATCAATCATTAATGATGTTCGTAGTCGCATACTGGCTCGCTCTCCTTTACCATCTACTCGGGATGTATTTGCTGAGGTTCGTCGTGAGGCGTCTCGACGCAAGGTGATGTTACCTGGAATTTCATCAACCCTTCCTTCATCTGAGGTGTCTGCTTTAATGAGCCGACAATTGGATCAAGGCCAAAAGGAATCAAGAGGAAAGGTTGTTTGTGAGCATTGCAAAAAGACAGGCCATTCAAAAGATAGATGTTGGGACCTCCATGGAAAACCACCTGATTGGAAACCACGTAAAGGTAAATCTCGTGGCTATCAAACTACTTCTGATTCTACTTCAGACAAATCTAGTTCTGCTCCAGACAAATCGGGTACCTTGCCTATCATCGACAAGGATCAGTTAAATAAGCTTCTAGAGATGTTCCATAGTTTACAATCTAACCAGTCGCCTCCATCTCATAATGCTTCCGTTGCTAAGCAAGGTAATTCGCATTTTGCATTTAATGTATGTTCCACTAAATCAAAGTGGATTGTTGACTCCGGAGCCTCAGATCACATGACTGCAGACTCTACCTTGTTTACCTCATACTTTCCCTATAGTGGCCATGAAAAGATTGACACAGCAAACGGTACATCCTCTCCCATTGCAGGAAAGGGTAGTATCATTGTTTCTAAATTTCTGCACCTTGAGTTTGTCTTTCATGTTCCCTATCTTGCGTGCAATTTACTATCCATTAGCAAGTTAACTAAACAAGCCAAATGTAGTGCTCACTTCTTTTCTACTCACTGTATTTTCCAGGATCTCTCATCGGGGAGGATGATTGGCAGTGCTGAGGAGTGTGATGGGCTCTACTACCTTGATGAATCAACCGTGAGTAATCTATAGTCCCAAATCTACTGCAACCTTGTGACTACTTCTGAACAAGCTGATCTTTTGTTATGGCATAAAAGAATGGGTCATCCCAATGTCCAATATTTGAGTCATTTGTTTCCAAATTTTTCATCTAATAAAATTTCTAATTTTCATTGTGATATTTGTGAATTAGCCAAACACCATCGCTCTTCTTTTCCACGGTCTAAATATAAGCCTTCTAAGCCTTTCTCTCTTATCCATAGTGATGTTTGGGGTCCATCTCGTGTCTCTAATCGAACTAGAGCCAAGTGGTTCGTTACCTTTATTGATGACCATACCCATGTATGTTGGGTATATTTAATGAAAGATAAATCTGAGGTACCTTCTATTTTTATCGAATTCTATACCATGGTTCTTAATCAGTTTAACACGTCCATCAAAATTCTCCAAACAGATAATGGCACTGAATATATCAACAAGTCCCTAAGTGACTTCCTTAAGGCTCGGGGCATTATCCATAAGACCTCCTGTATAAATACACCCCAACAAAATGGGGTAGCCGAACGCCAAAAATAGACACCTGTTGGATGTTACCCGTGCCCTTATGTTTACCACAAATGTGCCAACATATTTCTGGGGAGATGCCATTCTTACCGCCACCTATCTCATTAACCGCATGCCCACAAAAACTCTATCCTACACCACACCTCTCGAGTGTCTCCGACAGACCCACTCTCTCACCCATCTTGAAACCGTTCTTCCATTAAAGTTATTTGGGTGTTCTGCGTTTGTGCATCTCCATTCCTCTTCCAAGCTTGACCCACAAGCTGTCAAGTGTGTGTTTCTTGGTTACTCCTCACACCAAAAGGGATATAAATGCTTTGATCCATCCTCTAAACGCCTGCTTATCAGTCATGATGTTACTTTTTCTGAATCTGAACCTTTCTATTCATCACCTTCAATTCAAGGGGAGAGTTGGAGTGAATTTTAGGAATATTCTCCCATTGAACCTATTGATTCTCTTGACCCTCTTGACCATCCCACTTTACTTGAGCCTGTCTCTTTTATTCCAGAATCAAAAGAAAATGCAAGTTCAGGGGGAGATAAGAACACAGGTGCAGAAGGTAAAGAGATCAAAGTTTACACGCGGAAGAAGAAGCATGGTACAAAAGCTCTCATACCTGAAGCAGTACCGGAATCAGAACCGATGACAGATCCTATGGGAGATAGTCCTAAAGAAGATGAGAATGATAATCCTGATGAGGAAGAAGGTTCAGAAAGTTCAGAAGATGACTTGGAGGTGCCTATTGCTCTCAGGAAGAAGCCAAGATCATGTACACAACATCCTATTCAGACGTTCCTATCTTATAAAGCCTTATCCCCAAGATATCGGGTTTTTATTGCAAATGTGGATGGTGTTTGTATCCCTAAGGACATTCATGAGGCCCTGAAAACGTCTGAATGGAGAGAAACTGTCTTGGAAGAAATGAAAGCCTTGGAAGAAAATGAGACTTGGGAGGTTGTGCAGAAACCAAGAAACAAGAAGCTGGTTAGTTGCAAGTGGGTATTTACCCCTAAATATAAGGCTGATGGAAATCTTGATAAATTGAAGGCTAGACTGGTGGCAAGAGGGTTTACACAAACCTATGGCATTGACTATCAGGAAACATTCACACCAGTGGCAAAATTGAACACCATCAGAGTATTGTTATCTGTAGCAGCCAATCTTGAATGGCCGTTACACCAACTAGACGTCAAAAATGCCTTCCTAAATGGAGAATTGAAAGAAGAAGTTTATATGACTCTACCTCTGGCTTTGATAAAGGAAGGGAGAATCAGGTATGTAAATTGAAGAAATCATTATATGGGTTGAAACAGTCTCCAAGAGCATGGTTTGATAAATTCTCAAAAGTTCTAAAGCTACAAGGCTACAATCAAGCACTATCGGATCATACTATGTTCGTTAAAGTAGAAGGGGGCAAGAGGTGTGTCCTTTTTGTATACGTTAATGATATAATCATCACTGGTGATCATAATGAGGAAACGGCAAGAATAAAGGCTGTTCTTGGAAAAGAATTCAAGGTCAAGGACTTGGGTTGTCTGAAATACTTCTTGGGAATGGAGGTTGCAAGATCAAAGCAAGGTATTTATGTGTCTCAAAGGAAGTATGTACTTGATCTCTTAAAGGAGACGGGTATGCTGGGGTGTAAACCTGTTGAAACCCCTATTGTTGTTCCAAAGAAGAGGCAAGAATCCAAGAAAGAAGAGGGCAATTTAGATGAAGAGGGTAAAGAAGAAGAAAAAGAGAAAGAGAGGCCAACAGATAAAGAGAGATACCAAAGGCTTGTTGGGAAACTTATTTATCTATCTCACACACGACCTGACATAGCATTTGCTGTGAGTGTTGCTAGTCAGTATATGTGTGAACCGAAGGAAAAACATATGGAAGCTGCATACAGAATCCTAAGATACCTAAAGGGAAATCCTGGGCGAGGTTTACTATTTCAAAAACATGAACAAAGGAACATAGAGGTATATATAGATGCAGATTGGGGTGGACATCACCAAGACAGGAGATCTACTTCTGGGTATTGCTCATTTGTATGGGGAAATCTGGTTTCTTGGAAGAGTCAAAAGCAGAGAGTTGTATCCAAAAGCAGTGCTGAATCTGAGTTGAGAGCTCTTGCTCAAGGCATAATGGAAGAGTTGTGGCTAAAAAGGGTTCTGAAAGAAATACATGTCCAACTTGATCTGCCTCTCAAACTATATTGTGATAATAAGGCTGCCATAAGTATGGCATTGAATCCTATCCAACATGAGAGGTCCAAGCATGTGGAGATAGACAGGCACTTTATTAGAGAAAAGGTGGAAGATGGAATTGTATGCCTAGCCTTCCTACCGACAAATCTCCAAGCAGCAGATGTGTTGACAAAGGGGTTACACAAACCTGCTTTTGATAATTGTATAAGCAAGTTGGACATGATTAGCATCTATGATCCAACTTGAGGGGGAGTGTGAGAATAATTACAGGAATTAGAGGGATATGTCCCATAAAAATAGAGATTTGATAGGATTG